TCCCTGAGCTCCCTGCTATTCTTGGCCAACTAAGAAAGAATTGAAGTAAATCTTTTGGTCCTGTAGAACTGCTTCTGTGGCCCTGATTTCTAGCACCTGTTTAGCGTTCACCACCATCATGTAATGCTTTGACATCACAACTGCCCTGATCTTGTCCCAATGTTGTTGTGCATCTGAGGTTGTGTGCACCCATGTGTTCCAGAGGTAGGGCAGTCAATCCCCCACATCTGGCAGTTTTGGACTTTTTCATTTCCTTGTGGAAATAAGATGAGGAGCTTGAAGAGGACTAGTGGGTTCTGGTGGCTAAAGCCTTGGACTTGAACCACCTCCATTTGCTAGAGCCCTGTAACTGGCACTTGAATTTCTGTGAGGTCAGAAGGGGAGGGTGTGACTTATGAGAGACACTGAGAAATGGAGGATAGGATTGAGTTGTATTCATTGTAGCATGAAGTACCTCCTTGTGGAAGTGGAACAACTTCCATTTGCACAACAGGACTTTCCCCATTCTCCTCCCTTCTGTGCCCCCAAAATCTGCTTTGGCCTCCTCCCCAACCCTCTGGTGCAGAATTGGGGGTGGCATGGAAGTCCTATTGCACAAGCAGAAGTCATTCCACTCACACAAGTAATTTGCTGAATACCGCCCAATGAGTTTTCAAATAAAAACTTTTGCACAATGTGTACATTGACTTACAAAGATCACCCAGCCCTCTTTTTTGACTTTACTATCCTTGCACCAGATCTTTATCTTGATGGATAGTATGTAGAAGTTTCCCTCCCACAGGGCTGTCACTTGCCACTTCAGCCAGAGTCTGGGACTCAGTGGCAAAGAATTGCAACAGCAGATTCTTGAACGTCTGCCATGCTTCTGTACCACAGCTCCAGACCTGCCCGCCCATGTCTGGCAGGGGCATTCTGTCCCCAACAGGTGTGCTAGCTGGCTGCTGGGAATTGTACCACAAGAAATATGGAGGGCAGCATGTTAGCAGAGGCTGGGCTTTAGTCGGTGGTTTATTTCCAAGACTCAGTAAAATTAATGCCTGTATGAGCCACAGGAAGTATATAACCTTCCATTTTGAATTTTCAACTTGGAATTTGCCAAATATACAATGTGATAATGATTAATTATAGGAATGGTAAATCAAGATTGCCTACCAATTTCAAATAGCAATCTGTGCTCCAGCTGTTCCAGCTGAGCCATTCTGGTCAGTCATGTTAGTGATGAAGTGACAGGTATCAGCTCAACTATTTGCACTTGTACACAAACTGTATACTCACTGAATGTTACATGTGAACAACTGTGCAAGTATACAGCTGAACTATTTGTGTGCACAGAATGAACAGTTGTTGAATGTAACAAGTGAGCATACATAATGAATTGCCATTGAGATGCAGACGTATGGATGTGCTGTGTGAAGATGTCATACACAAGTAAATGTTGCAGTAACTGGTGATATCTTTGTGGCTCCCAAAAGTACTTTTGGGGTCACAGAAATACATGCAGAGATTCCCATTAGACATTATGTGTTTTCTGAGACTGTTTTAAAGAAGGGAAAACACAGCTTGGTATTTAGTGGGCTAACCTGAAAGCCTGGAACTCACAGCTCAATTCCTTGCTTTCTGAAATTGCAATCCAACCCCCACACACTGTACTGGAATTAAATCCCACTGAACTCAGTAGGACTTGTTTCTGAATGGACAGGTCTAAGAGTTGCATTATCAGTCATTTTGGAAAGTTTTATTAGCTAAAATAATTTGAAAACATTGCTCTGTGAAATGTTCTAAAATACCAGTATAGCAGGGGTGTCTAAACTTGGGAGGCCAGTGGTCACATTTGCAATTTTAAGGAAGTGCTGTAGGCACCAATCCTATGTCTGCCATTGGGTGTTTGGAATCACATAAATTGGTATCTGTATCTGCATCTAAAACTATTGGCCCTGTGTTTTCTTGACTTTGGGTTGATTGGTTTCTGAATCAGGAACATCCTAAAAACTAGAAAACTCATTAAAATATATATTAAAACCCTATATCCCCATTTCCCCTTATTTTATTCCACTTCACCTGGATGAAATAGTTTTTTCTTAAAACAAACCAAAGTAAGGAATGCTGTGATGTCAGCAAATGTTCAGTATTATCTGAAGGTGAATTCCCAGCCAACAAAACAATGGAAGGCTTCCTCTGTGTTCATTCCACTGGTCTTTGCAGTCACGCATATTATGTGTGTCTTCACCAGCAAAGGACTCAGTAATGCAATAGACCTCATAATTTGGATAAAATATTCAAGCCATTGCCTTCACATTAACCCCTATTCCTAGAAACGCCCTGTTGCCGTCATGCTGGCTTTTGCAGCATCGATCAAGAATAAAAATGAGTGGACTTTCCAGAATAGGTTACTACGACACCCAGCGGCCATTCAGATTAACTGCACAGGCAAAACTTCCAATTATTTTTAAGCCAATCACTACACAGTAATTTCAGGAATTAATTTAAGAGTACCGACTGCAAGCAGAATAAACAAGCAAAAGTTATTTTCCTATGGGAGGGATTCGGCACAGTCGCCTCTCTTTCCCCGTCTTGGAAGGTCGGTGATCACGGTGGATTTCGACTCTAGGTTCAGAATAGGGTAACCAGGAAGAAGGCTGTAATTTAGATTATGAAAGGGCTCGGCGCTCAAGTCTGTCGGAAAGCTGCGGCACCTCGTTTGTCAGTCTCTGCTCTCTGCTTGATATTTTATTTCTTTATTATTTTTTATTATTCTGTTGGGAGCCGCCCAGAGTGGCTGGGGAAACCCAGCCAGATGGGCGGGATATAAATAATAAAAAAATATTATTATTACTACACTTACCTAGGGAGAGGAAGGACTCTGCGCGTGCTCAGAGGCACGCCTTCGCATTATTACTTCGCATGACCCGAGGCTGAACCCTGACTATGCAGTTTGTTAAGCCTGATAAACCTTGTACAAAAGAGATGAACTTGTGTTTATTTAATGAGCGCACTCATTCTTTCTACAGGGCTTGCGGAAGCGCTCCTTTGGAAAAAGCGATTCCCCGCGGACCTTCACAGGGGATTTTAACTTCTGCTCTCCATACCGAGAACCAAGGAAACAAACAAGGGGCGGGGGGGGGGAACCACCGCGGTGAATGCGAAACGAAAGCATTTGCCTCATTCGTTTAAAGGCAGGCAGGGAGGACTAACATTGGCTGCGCCGTGAGCAAGGACCGCCCCGCATTCGGCGCGGCGGGTTGCGACCATAGAGAGAGAACGTTTACGATGCAAGAGCGACGTTACCTAGATACCGCAATAGCGCCAAGGTTGATCCGGAAAAGGAAGTGTGTGTCTGGTCCCGCCTTTTCCTCCGGCCTCCATTTTGTGAGGTGCTTTTCGGCGGCCTGGCAGAGGTGGGCAATTCGGTCGAGCTGATACGGTTTCGTCCTCTTGCGTCCCTTTGGCCGGCTTTGAGACTCCGCCGCCGCCGCCTCCGTTGCCGCCTCCCTCCTCCTCGTCGTCGCCATGACGGACCGCTACACGATCCACAGCCAGTTGGAGCACCTGCAGTCCAAGTACATCGGGACGGGCCACGCGGACACCACCAAGTGGGAGTGGCTGGTGAACCAGCACCGGGACTCGTACTGCTCCTACATGGGCCACTTCGACCTGCTCAACTACTTCGCCATCGCCGAGAACGAGAGCAAGGCCCGCGTCCGCTTCAACCTCATGGAGAAGATGCTGCAGCCGTGCGGGCCGCCCGTCGACAAGCCCGACGAAGCCTGAGCCGCCTGGCGCCCCGCGGGAGAGGGCAGCTGGGGCGAGAGAAATTTGGGAAGCGCCGCGACGAGGAGGGCCGACGGGACGCGGCTTCTTCCCTTGCCTGAGGCCGCCTTCTCTGGAACAAACCCTGCCCCTCTGTCCCCTTGTTGCGCTCCCGGGGCCAACTTCCTTTCGAGTCCCACGCCCCTTCGGAGAGCGCGGCTTGTGAACTTCCCTCAATTCTGCCGCGAACTGTGAGAAGCCCGTCCAGCGCGAGAGACTGAGGCAGGTGCTTCCCCTTGCTCGGAGGCGGCGTGAATTTCTTGGAAGAGGACTGCAGGACTCCTGAAGGCAACGCGTCCCACCCCACCCCCCGCCTCACTCTTGATTTTGTAACTTTTTTTGGGAGGAATTTAGGCAACTCTAATAAATGCCCCACTCCGCCTTCTAATCTGTTTTGTGGTGATTCGTTAATTTATACAAGAGATGTCAGTCAGGCTGTATTTTTAGCAAGTCCCGTTGAACCCAGTGAGGCCCATTCAAGTCAATGGGGCATGCTTGTGAGTAGACCTGCATGGGATTCATCTGTAACGGACTGCACAAAGGTAGCTACAGGGCAAACAAATACCTGCATTTCAAAATGTTGTATGTCAAGTGTGACTGCGAAATTGCTCTCAAATATTTGTGGACACATACAGAAGCAATGGATCTTCCCCCCCCCCCATACTTTTAGTTGAGGGTGGCTGTTACTCCGCTTCATGCAGGCCTCTCTGAATTACCATTAAAATGACTGGAGGCTGCACAACATATGTACTGCATATTTTCCACAACCATCACATAAGGTCACCTAGGTTTGATTGGTCTGTTGATTATTTTTCTTTCATTAGTAGCAAAAGCCAGTGATTACATGTAGCTAACCAATATAATGAGGAGATAAATACATAAATAAAATAAAGGGGGGGGGATGTAACGGTGAACAAATGGGAAACACTTGGCTTCAACTTAAAATTACAGCATGTGTGTGTGCATATGACTCCATCGTCCATAACCATTTGCTGCTATTGTATATATGCCAGCTGCAAATATTGAGTCAACTCCCAGGAATTTGATCATGTTTCTTTTATTATTGCATAGTTCGTAAAGTCATACAGGTTTCATGAGACAGGATACATGTTTATCGGTGAACTAGTTTGCTGGACTCCTGGGCTGTAAAAAGTAAGTGCTCTTATTCAGAGGCAAGGGGCAACATGCCACCCTTATTTTTTGCCCTGTACTGGAACCCTAAAAGCAGTAAAACATTAATTTAGGAGGGCTGTGAAATAAAGCAGATCATATACAATGGTATAAGTTTCTCTTTTCTCTGAAGGTGGACTCTGTTAAGACTGTTTCAAGGTACAGATCAAGACCACTTTGAAATAGTTCAGCTAGAAAACCTTGAGAAACTGATCTATTTTTATACCCCTGATACAGATGCTGGTATACATGGTTATTTTGTATGATTTTGTTTACTAAAATGGATATTGTAGGCCATATGCTGAAGAAATGAGAGTTGCATAAATGGATACAAATAGCAAAATGTCATGTTTACATTAAGGTATCTGGCACTTGCAGTAAGTTTTGTATTTCCACATTTTACAAGCTTATTTCTACTATATAAAAAGTTCTTTGGAACTGTCATTTTTCCTTGACTGGTCTGTTTCTCAACTGTTTTTCATGGCTTTTAAGAGAATTAAGATTGGATCACTCAGTGATGTAGTTACTTTGTTTCTTACCCAGGCTCCTTCCCAGAGGGAATAGCAGGTGCTTTTTTCTGCAGTGTTCCACCAGAGGTATCTGCAGCATGCCCTTAAAAATAACAAATCAGTTAACCTCTTTAAAATCCTTTGCAAAAATACATTCTGGGCATAGTCCAGAAAAAGTCAAGCACTGATTTCATTTGTAGAATTACAGTGCATTCCTATACATCGGGGTGGCCAACTCCCGATAGACTGCGATCTACTTTCAAAATTAAAATCTGGCAGTGATCTATCCCCGTTTTTGGGGGGTTCAGGTAAAAGTTGTTGAGCTTTTTAGGGGGAGGGGGGAATGACCCATTTTGGGGGGTTTAGGGACATTTTTGCAGCTCTTCTAAAGGAGGAACAAAAGCAGCCACTAACCTTACGATCGCTGGTTTCTAAACTCCAGCTTCCCATCTGTAACAGTAGAGGCCTGCGCAGGGAGAGGGGCCAGGGCCGAAAGGGGGCCAGCGATCTACCAAAACCTCACAGGGATCAACCAGTAGATCGTGATTGATGTGTTGGACATCCCTGCTATACATGTTTGCTCAGAAGTAAGTTCCACTGAGTTCAGTGGGGCTTGCTCCCAGGTGAGCATAGGATTGAAGCTTTAAGCATTAAACTTTCATTGCATTTTGAAAATGCTTGACTGTGGTTATTTCCAGTCTTAAGATCACTATGCTAAGGTTTGCTTGGTCAAAGTTTGTAGGTTTTTCCATAACCCAGTTTTAAAATATGAACCAAAGGCAAGAGTATATAACAGAATAATTTTGAATATTAATTTCACTCCAAACCAAACGCTATATCCCTTCTTCTACTGTTTCTAGAATTATTTCAATCCTACTTAGCCCTTTGAGCCCCCAAATAGGTTCTCTAGATAGTTTACATAAATAATCCAAAAAGCAAATTATATTGCATATCAATTAATAAATTATTAGTTCAAAAGTCGTCTATTTGGATCCCTTCCAATGGGGATTCAGGCCTCACCATGGGACTGAAACTGCCTTGGTCGCGCTGGTTGATGATCTCCGGCGGGCTAGGGACAAAGGTGAGAGCTGTTTCCTAGTTCTGCTGGATCTCTCAGCGGCCTTTGACACCATCGACCATAACATCCTTCTGGACCGCCTAGAGGAGCTGGGGGCACTGTTATACGGTGGTTCCGCTCCTTTCTCCTGGGCCGTGTCCAGAAAGTGGTGGTTGGGGATGAGTGTTCAGACCTCTGGGCTCTCACTTGTGGGGTGCCTCAGGGTTCCATCCTCTCCCCCATGCTTTTTAATATCTATATGAAGCCGCTGGGAGAGATCATCAGGGGGTTTGGACTGGGTGTTCATCAGTATGCAGATGACACCTAGCTCTACCTCTCCTTTAAATCAGAACCAGTGAAGGCGGTGAAGGTCCTGTCTGAGTGCCTGGAGGCGGTTGGAGGATGGATGGCGGCTAACAGATTGGGGTTGAATCCTGACAAGACAGAAGTACTGTTTTTGGGGGACAGGTAGCGGGTGGGTGTGGGGGATTCCCTGGTCCTGAATGGGGTAACTGTGTCCCTGAAGGACCAGGTGCACAGCCTGGGAGTCATTTTGGACTCACAGCTGTCCATGGAGGCACAGGTTAACTCTGTGTCCAGGGCAGCTGTCTACCAGCTCCACCTGGTACGCAGGCTAAGACCGTGCCCGCGGACTGTCTCGCCAGAGTGGTGCATGCTCTAGTTATCTCCTGCTTGGACTACTGCAACACGCTCTACGTGGGGCTACCTTTGAAGGTGACCCGGAAACTTCAATTAATCCAGAATGCAGCAGCTAGACTGGTGACTGGGAGTGGCCGCCGGGACTACATAACACCGGTTCTGAGAGATCTGCATTGGCTCTCAGTACGTTTCCGAGCACGATTCAAAGTGATGGTGCTGACCTTTAAAGCCGTAAACGGCTTTGGTCCTGTATACCTGAAGGAGCGTCTCCACCCCCATCATTCAGCCCGGACATTGAGGTCCAGCTCCGAGGGCCTTCTGGCGGTTCCCTCATTGCGAGAAGTGAGGCTACAGGGAACCAGACAGAGGGCTTTCTCGGTAGTGGCGCCCGCCCTGTGGAACGCCCTCCCATCAGATGTCAAAGAGATAAACAATTACCTGATATTCAGAAGACATCTTAAGGCAGCCCTGTTCAGGGAAGTTTTTAATATGTAACGCTGTACTGTTTTTAACACTTGATTGGGAGCCGCCCAGAGTGGCTGGGGAAACTCAGCCAGATGGGCGGGGTACAAATAATAAATTATTATTATTATTATTATTATTATTAAGCCATCATAAACTACAGAAAACTCACCTACTAAGCCATATGATACTGTTAAAGTAGTTCTAACAGTTACAAAATTGGCTTAACCAGAACAGTAAAGGCATCCATGCAATATGCAACAGCAGCAAAAATGAATCTTTTACAGGGTGGTTTTAACTATAGGGCATACTAGCTAATGAATGTTAAATGCTATGAAATTGTTTAATGTTAAAGTTTGGTGGTACAGTTGAAATAGGAATAATTTCTGTGACCCTCAAATATTTCTGAGCATTAATTAAACGTTATTTTTGCTACTTACCTATTACTACTTGGCTTGGATCAGTGCCTTCCTTGTTCTGAAGCAGTGTTCCCACAGCACTTGTTAGGGTTGGTTCTTTTTTGGGAGTTGCTTGCTTGCCCTAGAAAATATGAAGTAAATATATAAAGAACGTTTTAGCATACGTTCATTATGCAGTACAGTTGATTTATCACATTTGTATCCAAAAAGTTTAAAGAACTTTGGGACTATCATATGTTTATCCTCTCAACAATCCTATGATGTTTAGGTAAAGAGTGGCTGACTACCCAAATATTCTGCAGTGTGGGGCAGGGGGGGTGGCAGAATTCAAACCAACATTTCTCTGATTCAACACTATCCACTACACCACATTGGCCCTTCACTAACTGAAGTTGTGTACAGTGGTACCTTGGCTAATGGGGCCTCCTGCTGCTGGGTTACATATGCTTCAGGTTAAGAACTTTGCTTCAGGATGAGAACGGAAATCGCGCTCCAGCAGCAGGAGGCCCCATTAGCTAAAGTGGTGCTTCAGGTTAAGAACAGTTTCAGGTTAAGAATGGACCTCCGGAACGAATTAAGTACTTAACCCGAGGTACGACTGTATTAGCTGGAGTACTTAGATTCTCCCCAAAACCTCTCATAATTGTCAGCAAGACAAACTGAAGGAGAAAAAACCTTAGAAAATTTGCTTTATGGCAGGTAAAGGTAAAGGACCCCTGGACATTTAAGTCCAGTCAAAGGTGATGGGTGTGGCGCTCATCTCGCTTCAGGCCAAGGGAGCTGATGTTTGCCCACAGACAGCTTTCCAGGTCATGTGGCCAGCATGACTAAACCGCTTCTGGTGCAACGTAACAGTGACGGAAGCCAGAGCACATGGAAATGCCATTTACTTTCCCGCAGCAGCGGTACCTATTTATGTACTTGCACAGGTGTGTTTTCAAACTGCTAGATTGGCAAAAGTTGGAACAGAGCAACGAGAGCTCACTCTGTCGCGGGGATTTGAACCACTGACCTTCCAATTGGCAAGCCCGAGAGGCTCAGTGGTTTAGACCAAAGTGCCACCCACATTCCCTATAGCAACCCTACAGGGACTAAATAATTTATGCATTTTTAAAAAAGGTGAAAACCCTCCAGTCTGTTGGATTAAAATATTTCTGCACATTTTCCTATGGGTTTTTTGTTGTTTGCAAATTCTGGTTTGACTGGTTTATTCATCCATCAGTCTTTTCTATAGCTCAAAAAATGTGACATTTGGAAACATTTTGCATTCTGCTTTTAATGGGAGAAGAGTACTCTAGAACTTTTAGAGTGACATGGCAAAAATTAGCAGAAAATAAATAATGTTGCAATGAACATGTATTCATTGACCATAATATAATATATGCTTAGGCATGGACCATGATTCATTACTGCCTACACTGATTGGCAGAGGCTCTCTAGGGTTTCAGGTAGGTGATATTCCCAGTCCCAGATGTACATGCCAGGGAATGAATGTGGGACCTTCTGCATGCAAAGCAGACACTCCACTACTGAACCGCAACCCTTCTCCAGAATTCATGGGAAAGTGAAAGAATTAACGGAGATACATTTGGCAGAGCTCCTCCTTGTTTTTATTATTCTATATAGCCCCTGGAAGAAGGATGGGATAAAAATGTGACTAATGGCTTGAATACAATAAAATTACTTACAGGGGGTGCTTTGGATCCTTTCTGACCAGGAGCAAATGCACGCCTGGCTGCTTGTTCTTTGCAGAAATTGATGTGCCTTTCTGCTGCAGCCTCATTAAACCTTCTCATGCAGTAAGGACACTGAATATAATCTGAATATAACAAAGGAACGGGGGCTATAAAAGCAATTTATATAGTACCTGGGAGACAACATCACTGTTATAAAATATATAAATAATGTGAATATGCCACAATGAGCCAGTTTCCCTTTGTCATCTGAATCCAGGTTCATGGCTTAACTCTCCTGGACAAACCATGAGCTATAAACCACAGGACAGCTTGGTTACAGCTTGTGGTTAGGCTGCAGAAAGCTAAAATATGCCCAGGCTGGGACTACATGCTGAGCCAAACTGTGGTTTAGCTCAGAATTGCACAGTAGCAAAACAACTCAGGAGGAGCAAAGCAGACACAATCTCCTCTCCAGTAGCCTGCACATTCATGCTAAGCCATGCTTTGAATTAGAATGATGTGTGAATCAGGCTTATGCTTGTTATCTTGCAGATGAAGAAATTAGATTGAGAGAGACTTCCCACTGAAACAGTAGCTGAGTTGAAAATTATTCCCTTGAGTGGAAGTCCAGTATTATCCACTAGCTCTGTTTTAGTTAATTGTTCAAATGACTCTCTGAGTTAGACCCAGACTGCCCTTGGGCAGAATTGTATCTATGGGATGTTCCCACAGGTGAAGGCGGTGAGTATCTCTTCCTCTCTGCAGGAGATTTCTCTGAATCTTTGGCCCCTCTGTGAGCCTGGACCCAACCCTCTATTTTTAAACAAGGATGAACAGCTTCAATGCAAGTAAATAACCTGGATTAATGGTTGGAGGCGGTGGCGGAGGCAGAGGGCGGCCTTCTTTCATAGCTATAGTGGCAAGTTTGGCTGATCGGATTGCATTAATGAAGTCCTCATGTTGTTGTCTCCAATTAGATTTTCTCTCTGGTTGGCTCTGAAAAGGAAATACTTGAATCACATTTTTCAGTCAGAGGGTGCATTAATAGATACATAGTCCTAAACTGTTTTTGAAAAGAGAATTTCAAGAGATGTTAAAAGCATTATAATGATGAAACAATAACAAACAATAATAAAGTTTAATTATCTATTAAACACAGGTAATACAGTTCCTTGGTTTTCTTGTGCCAGGTGCAGAAGAGGGGAGATAACTATGAGTGTCACCTCTGACAAATGAGTGGGTAGGAAGGATGGGTTTTGGGGTAGGAGCGTGGTGGATTTAGGTGGGAGCCAAAGCCTGGGCTTGGTGGAAGATTTGAAGAGGGAGGGTATGGCAGCCTGTGCATAGATGGAAAGAGATTAGAGAGCCTGGTGGGTAAGGGCAAGTAGATGAATTTCTTAATCTTGAGTTGAAGAATCATGGAATCACAATGCTCACCTCTTATTTGAGGCAAGCATAATGTATTCTTAGGATCTTTATTTCTGAACCAGGAAATAGCAATTAAACTAGATGTTAATATGAGCCCCAAATGGATGGTTCCAAAAGCAGAGTTTCATAGTGAATGAAGAGGTCTTGGAGGGCTTGTAAAGAGGAAGAAGAAGAAATATGCACTTACTTCCTAGTAGGCAATGTAAGGGAAGCAGAGTCAGAGGGATAGTCTATGACTCAGTGCTACAGTAACTTTTACAGGACATTTCAACCCTATGTATTAGCACAGTCCTTATGTCTGGCAAGTAAGTCACCCCCAACTCTGTTGTGAAATGTCCCTGAACTGATATATTTGAGTCGAGTTGCATGCTTAATTCAAAAATACCTTCAGGGGTGGCTTCCTCTTTACTGTTGGAATGTCAGTTCCCTGCAGTCGCTGTTTCAAGGAATTAAATGGCTTGCGCTTTTTGTTGAAGACTTTCCTGCATATTGGTTCATGTCGTGCCTAAGATGGACACAGAGAAAGGTCTGCCAAATAAGGGTTGATCAAAATTATGTTATACTGAGCTCTAAATGTAGGGCTCCAGAAATGAAAAATGAAAGGTATGATTATGTCAAGCCTTCTTGATTTAGTGTGCCCAAGCTTTTGGGAGTCAGCAAAGGAGATGATGCCTAACTTGTATGTATATCTAATTACCTGTGTCTGAATTCTATCCTGGACATGGAATAAATGTGGGTACCTAATTTGACTAATCTAGGATCCTTCTGGTTTTCTCAAGTTAAATATTAAAAAGGTAGGTGTGCGTGTTTTCCCTAGCAGAGGTGTAATTATTTGGCTGTAGTGCCAACCAAGTCGAGTGGCTTGCTCACCTTTGATTGGCTCAGGCTGTTGCACCTGTAAGGATATAATCTTGTAAACAGGGATTGTAAAAACTTTTTTTAAAAGAAGCAGCATCGGTTTTTCTTGTTTGGTTTTTGTGCTGGGTCCATGGCTTGGCAAAAGTCTAGTTTGAGGACAATGTATAAACCACCCTTGATACTTTAAAATGGCCTGAACAAGGGACTTTTAAAACTTGTAACTCTGAATTCCCCTTGCTAATTGCACATCAGCTAAGCAGTGAAGGAAGGCGTATGAACGCCTAAGTACCCAGGAGGCCCAAGTTCAAATCCCTACTCAGTCATGAAGTTCACCGTGTTTCCTCAGTCTAACCTACTTCAGAAGGTGGTTGTGAGGACAGAATTGAGTGGGGAGACCCAGGAAAGAGGATACATAAATGTAGTAAATTAAAAAGTAAATGGAGGGGCGGGGACCCAGCTCTTGTGTTTATTCATATTCATGTGGCCCTATCAATTATGTGGTGGCAGCTGCTAAGAAAGAGTGGCAATTAAAGGCATAGCTGTCAACTTTTCCCTTTTGCAAGGAATCCTATTCGGAATAAGGGAATTTCCCTTAAAAAAAGGAAAGCGTTGACAGCTATGATTAAAGGTAGTTTAAATGGGAAGTGAAAATGTAGCAGAAGGTGGCATGGTCACCCAATATTCAAAAGGGTTCCTGAGTACATGAACTTGAATTGGTCCAAACTGCCCAGAGTTAAGGGACTGAGAAACACATTAACATATGTAAAAATGTTGTGAAGGAAACATTGGGAATTGTTTCTAAGATACGTGAGGTATGCGTGGAGCTTCCATTTATTACTGATTTTTCTTCTCTTTGCATTGAATGAAAGGCAGGGATGAGGGATATTTACTGTAAACACTAACAAGTACTTCCAAGTACTTGCCTGTTGCTATTTCTGCTTTGAATTCCTTAAAAGCTGCAGTCTGTGAAAGCTTCTGCTGTATGGTTAACTTCAGCTGTGAACCAGCCTAAGATTGCTACGGAATTCATTCATTAACAGGGTCATTTTCCATTCTTGTTTGGTCAATTATCTTAAGGTCGCTTTTATGTCACTAAATATATTCAGTGGTTAATTGTCTTGTTTTTACCAGTGCATCCTGTGTAAAATGTCTTCCACAGATTTCACAAGAAAGCAAATTCTGGCTGCTAGCATCTGTGTGAAATGGAAGAATACAAGTTATTACTTACTTATCCAGGGTTTTCTAACATCCAAGAAATCGACACAATCTCATTTTTTCTCTTCCAATTGTGCTTCCCCTCTTCTCGTGATATTAATCCAACTAATATTGTTTTTAATGTATATGCTGCTACATGCCAATAAATAGCCCTTTATTAAGTTAGAAAAAGAATTAGACATAAAGTCTGCATATGAAAAAAGGTGCTTCCAGAAGGATGTTACAAGGTTAATACTTTGAGTGATGTATTACTTATCATACTCACTGCATGAATGAGGGTAGCTTCCATGACTGTGGTCTGTTCAACATGTTTGACATATTTCTATGAATAGCTTCTGCAAATATCAGCCAGTACGGACAAACATTTACTTAAATGTAATGAAGAGCAGAGAGCCTGTGCAAAACCATTCACTGATAAGTGATAAAAGTTACCTACAGCTCAAAGTAAAAATTGAGAATATTACATACCTACAGCTCCTGCTTTATTCCCAGGAATCACACTCATCTCATAGCGCAGTGATATCAAATTCTGCCTTTAATACTTTTTCAGGGAGACAGGAGCACCAGGTTGTTTACTCTTGCTTATCTAGCTCCTTTACTTGTAAAAGCCCAAGTTAAACGTCATTGGCTGACAGTTAAAACAATTATGACACATGCAACCCCTCCATCATGCAATGATGCACATGAAAACAGAAGTTAAGCTGCTCTGAGTACATTTGCTTCCTCTACAAGACAGTTATCAGTGAGTGTTTTAGTAACAGGACACCTTGACTTAAGACAGATGTTCAATAAGGCAGTTGCTTCTTCAGCTACAGAAACTTCTAAAGTAGTTAAAACTAATAGAGGCAAGCTTGAAGTTAGCAGCTTGATTTGCCAAAGTGAACTGTTTACCATTGACCCCGTCCCTCCTTGTTTAGTGGACAGTGATAAAGTGTTGTAGGAACCACAAGATGCTCAGGAAAGGTTCTTTGAGGGAAATGCTGGGAGGCTGGGCTAGCAATGTATAACCATGAGCACTAGATGGAATTTCCATGTTCAGAGGCAGTATATGGATCTGCTAGTGGAAGCCCATGCAAGGACTGCTCCCACAAATCTGTTCTGGAGGTTCAGGAGAATCCCCAAAACAGCACATAGGGTGAAGAGAGGGGAAATCATTTTGCCAGGCAAGCAGAAATGCCCATAATTACCGTATTTTTCGCCCCATAGGACGCACCGCCCTATAGGACGCACCTAGCTTTTTGGGGGGGGAAATAAAGGGAAAAAAAATTATTTCCCCCCCCCCAGGCATGGGGCTGGGGCGGGGGAAGCCCGAGCTTCCCCCGACCCCAGCCCCCAGAAGAACCTGCTATCCGCAAGCCTAGGGAGCCGTGCCGGTCTCCCCAGGCTTGCGGACAGCTGTGCGAAGCCCGGGCGCGCTGAGGCTTCCTAATGCAGGCAGCTCTGTGCAACCCTCCGGAGCCCGGCGCAGCTTGGCACTGGGCTCCGGAGGGTCGCACAGAGCTGCACGGACCCCGGGAGGGCAGGCAGCTCTGCGTGACCCTCCGGAGGCCGGCACGGCTTGGCACCGGGCTCCGGAGCGATGCTCAGAGCTGCACGGAGTCCGGGAGGGCAGGCAGCTCTGCGTGACCTCCGGAGGCCGGCGCGGCTTGGCCTCTCGCTCTCCAGGCTTCAGCAAAAGCCTGTATTCGCCCCATAGGACGCACCCACATTTCCCCTTCATTTTTGGAGGGGAAAAAGTGCGTCCTATAGGGCGAAAAATACGGTATCTCTTTAGTGCTATGTTGAAGTCTACCATTTGACTCATGGCCTGATACTTTAACATGAGGTTCTTAAGATAACACCCTGCCTCTCCAATTGCAGGAGTTGATTTCTCTTGAACACCATTCCTGTAAGCAGCAACACAGAAGTATTAACTTAAATGTTAAACCAAGTTTTGAAAGTATAATTGTTATAATGAAAGCAGACAAAAGTGACTAGTAAAGAGATTTTACTATAGAGGAGTTTGCCCATCTTAACAAATGCCTACCAACACTTCCATAGGAGAAAATATTACAGCAATTTTATTTCAGTGGTACCCAAAAATGATTTTGCATGTAACCAGATGCCGGTAAGTGACTATCTGAATTCAAAAAGTCATTATCTTAAACTTTGCTGTTGTCAGGCTGAAGACAGAAGTTCCAAAAGGTATCAGCAAAGAGTATGGTAGCTGAGTGTCCTTAACACGAAGCAATTGTTTTTCATTATGACAGCTTGAGCCCTTGAATATTCTGTTTCAGGTTGAGCAGCTCTTTCTCTTGCCTCGTCTTCTCTTGCTTGAAGGCCAATCTGTTTGCTTTCTTCTCCATTCTGCGTTCCTACACAGATAAACCATTTATTTACATTTCAACAAAGAAGTTCCCAAAGCAGTTTCCTTAATAAAACAGTATGCAGCCTCTGCAGCCTCTCACATGCTCTCCAGTCATCTGTGGAAGACCCTCCAGCCCTCCCAAACAGTTTTTAAGGGATGTGCAGGGAGAAGGAGGAACGTGAAGCCCCTTCCAGAGCAGAAATCCATTCTGTTTGTGCACAGGCAGCATTGGATACAACCCAAATGCACCCTCCACAAGCTTTGGAGAGCACCACATTGGCTATTCCATGCTACAAATGCTGCAGAAAGGCATCTCATAAGAAAAGCTAGTTTATTTCTATTGTTATCACTAGTAACATGTAGAGAGTTTGGAATGAAGTGACCGATTTACCAATCCTTTCAACTATATACATGCCAGTTTTTGGGTTCTTTCTGGGCTGCACTTTAAAATTTATTGTACTGGTCACAAAGAATGCAAAGATTCTTGCAAGCAGCCAGCTGCTACGAGCAAAGATCTGTAAAAAATTAGCATAAATCCAAAACTGGTATTAGCAATCAAAATGGAACGAAGGAACTTCTGCCCCCTCCTAAACCCATACAGAGAAACACCATTAGAACAAAGCATCTTTTCCCAATCGGATGAAGATTAACAATTGATAAGGATCTAATATAGAGCATGACAGTGTCACCTTCTGATTAGGTTACATTTACCTACTCCCTTCTGAGTAGGTGATCACCTTCTGATAAGGACCAGTGTCACTGTGGTGCTCAGTGTACATTGCCCTCTGCACCCTTTATTTCACAACAACAATTTAGCATATTGTAAAAGGAGAGAAGTCAAAAGACATATATGCTGCAGAAATACGCCTGCATACACCTAATATGGTCTCAGTCTGTTGGTGCTTATCTATGGGAGACAACCTGGAAACAGTGAAGTTACCTGGGTTCATGTTCAAAAGTTAGGATGTAAATGGCTCTGGTTCAAGTTAAAACTGACCAACTACTTTAGTGAAAGTGACAATCAGACAAATGCACATTTCAGTATTTACTGAAAAATGTGAAAGAAGCCTACCTTTCGTTCCTCTTTGATAGCTTGTTTTCTAGCTTTCCGATCTTCTTTACTCTCATTTTTGCATCGTGGTTGCGTGGCTACTCTTGGCAGGTCACTGTCGTTAATCATTTCCATGCGTTCGGCCTGCTTAGCTGTAAGTCCTCTTCCGGGCAAAACACCCAGAGGGATTCCTGTCTTACTTGACACTTCAATTGGTTTGGGCTGAAAAGTAAATACATACAAACAAACAAACTAACAAATGTGGTTTCCCCCCTACACCCCTTGCTATACTTTTTCATGTCATGTATAAGCCCAACAATAACATTGTGGCTTTCTTCCCCAATCAGCCCAGTCCAAAGTTCATTACAGCAGAACCTATAGGCCCTAAGTGTCAAATCAATGCTCAGTCAAAGCAGAATTTATAACCTCGCTGGGGGGTGGGGAATGTCTGTTTGGCTATGATTAAATAATAAAAAAAAATGTATTCTTGTTCTGTTGCAATATTTATTAAATGGCTTCCTTATACTTGTTGAAAATCTTTGGCAGATTACATAGAAATTACTTGAAACTGTGCATGCATGTTTAGTATTTAAAGCAGAGAATAGTGATAATTTTTTAGCTTCCGATTTCCAGGTAAAACAAGTTACTAAGAACTTGTTTTCTGTGAGAGCAATAAATGCAAAAATATTTAATACTGCTGAAAGGAAGAGAGAAAAGACACCAACCAGTTTATGCTGGATCACTTTTGAGTAATGACAAACAGGTCTGAAGAACACTTACAATTATCCCAAAACACGTAAGCTTATGACCACACATGCTATTGGGATAGGGAACGAAAGAACTACACAACTAGTTATGACCCAGAGACAATCATCTACACAACCCAGAGACAATCATCTTCCATGCCACATGGCTTTTAATTTCAAAAGCCATTTTCAAGATGGTAAGGCTTGCTATTTTATTTTTCCTTTAAAGCAAAAAAATCACACTAGGCATGCTGAAATTCTTGGATGTGCCTATTACTGGTCAAAATTCTTAAAATGATATAAAATAGAAACTTCAATTTACCTTTTGTGGAACCTCAATAAGTTTTGGATGATTGTATAAGTTTGAATAGGTACCTTAAGGAGAAAAAAAGAGACACAAGTTTGAGTAATCAATCAGTTACTGCCCCAGTTATGATTTTAAAACTTTTGTTATAGACCAAACTATTAATAATTTCTTATTCATTGGCCTTTTTCGTTAATAGTTACTGTGTGTGCTAGTTTGACACACAAAAAGCAGTAGTATAATCCTTGCATTTTTTAGCCATGGGGGGGGGGGGACACATGTAGCTCTAGACACTAACTCAGAATGGATTCGCAATCCCACTTTTCTTTGGGTTCTTCAATAACCAAAGCTGCAATTTCTTCTATCTCATCTTCTTCCTCACTGGGGAGCAGCTTTGAATCTTCTTTGATTTCGAGACCTTCAAGTTTGACACAGCTTTTGGAGAAAAATAAAAGATTCATGAAGGCATATTAAAAACATTTTAAATTTAAATTTAAAACTGCCTCTAGCTGCTCTTCCATTGATCAGTATCCCTTAGAGCAGTGGTGGCTAATTTATGCTCTCCACACTTTGTTGGACACCAGAATTCATCAGCCAGCATGGTCAATGGCCAGGGATAACGCAAGTTGCAATCTGGCAACAACTGGTATGGCAGAAAATGGTAGATATACATTATGCTTTTGAAAGGTGTAATTTGGCAAAGGAGTTCCCCTTAATTGTGAATCACAACAAAATACATTTTATTTGCACAGTATCAGCAGGCATTCCAACTGCATAAAAGCTAAATATTTTTCTCTTAGTACAGCCTATGTTGTTTGCTGCATACCCAGTTGTATATAATTAAAGGTATTTATTTTTCATAAAATGTATATACTGATTGTTAAACCCCGCTGAAGTATATTTCCTCCTCCTTTTCCTTCAATCAGATACTTGACAGGACATCACAATTGCCTCTTCCGTATCCGACACACACACTTTATAATTGCTGCTAGAGGCAGAGAATGTTGATTACCCTGAGTCAATATGAATACATGCATCAAGCCAAACATTTTGCCATCAATAGCTATATATTTAAAGGACTTTGGCTTTCCTCTTCTAACATAGCAATTGATCATCGGTAACAGCAGTCAAGCATGAATATAAACAAGAGATCCAACTGAGCTCTTCCCCCATGAACCAGATAAACCACAACCAAATTAAACAATTAGAGAAATATAGTGTTTTTCATGACAATGCCTTTAAATAAAAATTACTCAGCTTTCAATGTAGTCTCTGGAAATTAATCAGTAAACAGAATACATAAACACTAAACCAGCAAAGACGCTTCCCTTCCTAGGATAAAATGGGAAAGCTGAAGCTGGGAGCTAAGGCTATCTATGTGAGTCGTCATCTTTGGACTCAGAACATCCCCTCCCCAGGAGGCTTCCCTAGTGCTCATGCAACTGTCCTTTTCATGCTACACAATGGCCTTTTTGATTAGCCTTTAAAAAAAAATATCATTTTTTTAAAATGGCCTTTTAATTGTTTTGATTGTAGCTTGTGTCCAACATTTGTAAATCACCCTGATGTCAAAAGGTTCTATAGAAATTCTTTTAACTAACACCAAGAAATCAGACAGCTGGGACATTCTACATACTTCTTTGCCTTCTCTCTGTAGTAGTCATTCAAGACTTCCTGTAACCGCGTACTGTCGCTGTGAATGAAACCTTCCAATTCGGCATTATCCAGTGCTCCAATTTCATCATCGTCAAACTGCTCAAAGAACTAAAAGAACATAAAACACACAACACTCAATCTGAAAGTATCTGGAACTAATTATATAACTACAGTAACAAATCTGAACCACACAGGGAGAGGAATTCGAGTTTTGAGAACAATTGTTTTCATTCTCCTAATTTCCTTCTCCTTTATGTAAAAACAAATACAAATTTATTTGCTACCCTGCTGATTGACAATAACATATCTGCGGTTCAGAATAAATGTTACTCGATATTGAACAAAAATATGTAAGGTACATATTACAGGGTATGATTGTTTAGCAGTTAGCTGTCTTTCTATCATTGGAAAAATAATAAGTAGCCATTTACACAGGGCTTTGATCTGCCTGTATCAGAATCAGAGTTTGAGTGGGGGAATATTTGCCAACAACCCTTTAAGTGTCACCAGAATCATTACCGTTAGGTTACCTCACCTTCTCAAATCTCTCATCCAAAAGGCTCAACTGTTCATTCCTTCTCATTACTGAAGAAGTCATGGAGTATTCTGTGAAACGGCTCTTGGTTTCTTCTTGCATAAAAAGAAATTCTTTCATTTCTCCTTTAATCTCACTGTCATCTGACAAAGGACCCTCCGAATCCACATCACTCTGGGTGCCTTCTCCATCCTCTTCCTCCATGTCCTCCCATTCATCTTCATCTCCAGACTGCCTAGGAAGAGCAGCCAAAAAGAAAATGAAACCCAGCTATCTCATTTTTAAAAAAAGAAGTATTAAATAATTTCTATCTTGCTCTTTAGCCAAAATGGCTCCCAGGATGGCATTTGAAAAAGAGGTAGAAAGTGTGCCTTCAGGCTTACAATAAAAAGCCAAAGCATAGAAGGAAAGGAGATGGGAAAGGAGGTCGAAAAGCAAACTCTTACAGTTTTTATAACAACCACATGTAAACATAGCTTGAAGGAATGGCTGCTGTAAGGCAACAGCTGAGGGGAAGGGGGCTGAAGCCACTTGGTTTCTCTGCAGCTGCAACTGCAGCTGATTATTATTGTCTAGAAGGCTGTCAGGGGCCGGCAGCAAACATACATGACTGCCTCACCGCTATGGAAAGTAAACACAGGTGGGTCAGAGGTGATGATGGGCAGAACTCGTGGGTGCCTATGCTGCTTCTGCCAGCATAGAACAAGGCAGAAAGGTGGGAAAAGAGAGGCAGCTGCAGCAGCATTGATTCTAGGAGGCACCCTATTCCGTTTGCCTCAGTGTCACAGGCAATGATGGACTGGCACTGTGAGAAACAGTAAGGAGAGGACAGGATAGTTGGGCCAACTCTAGAGAGAAGAAGCTAGAGAGATTTGAGAAACAATGTAAATGGTTGGAGGAGGATGAATGTATTGTTTGTTTCGCCAGAAGCCCTAAAAATGAGAAGAGTCTTAAGCCTTCCTTGGTAGTAAAGAAATAAAGTGCTCAATAGGTCTACCCTAAATTGAAGGTGATACACTTGAGCTTCTGATGGCTCTCTATCAGGCTGCTTCTCTTCCTCCTCACCTCATTTCTTTTTGGACTTCTTGTCTAACCAGGTCATAGGTCATTATTTTTCTTATTTTACAGTTAAATAGCTGATGTGGTGCTGATTTTCAGACTCTGAAAAGTATCTCTATGAAAAGGAGCATGAAGATAGTTCCTTAGCAACGTTTTGCCCAGTGGCAAAACGCAAAACAAAGAACAGAAAGGCAACGAAGGACAGTAATACTTTTTCCATTCCATTACCAACAAGCTTCCTTTTCCTGCTCTGTGCTTCCTTGATTATTAGCCCTTAAAATGAAGTCATCATCAAGAAGATTATCAGGATTGTCGAAATCAAAGTCATCGTCAAGTGCCGCAACAATGTCAGGATCAAAATCCAGCCTAGGCCCTAAAGATAGATAAAATAACACCTTATAAATGAGTTATGACAAGCCATTTCTCAGAAAGTGTCAGAGCTGAACAGCCAGTTTGCTGTAAACACCAGTCTTTAGCCAAGCATAGAAAACCATTCATTGTGGCTGTTCCCTTTATAGAATTCCCTTCTATGGCAGACTCAAACCTGAGTACCTTTTAGAAGGGTTGTAAGACGCCCCCACCTGAATGGGAAGGCTTTCAGGGCCCAGAGCTAATTTAGAAAAGGGTGAGAAAATTTAGATTATGGTAATTAATTTTTACTGTGAGGAGTTGTGTCGCAGCATCTGCTTTTGTTTTCAAATTACTTTTTTTAAAAAATTCAATAAGTGATTGTGCTATATTTAAACAGGCTGCTGCCAAATTCTTTTCAAAATGCAAAGAAAGCTGATGAAATTGTTATTAGTACACAACTTAAAAAAACAAACAAACCCAAAACTAGCCTGCATTTCAGGGTAAGTAACTTATGGTACAACTCTATTCTCATACAGTTTACAAGAGTTTTCCCCCTGCTGTCTGTGGACAAATGCCGGCTCCCTCGGCCTGAAGCAAGGTGAGTGCTGCACCCCATAGTCACCTTTTTGACTTTTTACCTTTTACCTATTCCCCACCATACGTGAATAGAAGAATGAGTATGATGGCCAACTTGAGGTGGAAACAACACACATATAAAAAATGTTCTGACAGTGTTTTTTTTTTAAATAAAAAAATACACTGAATTTTCCACGAGGCTCACCATCGCCATCTAGTCTCATATTGTATATTGCACTTAAAAAACACTTAAAATGTTTTATTTGCAGCTGTATAGCTGAGTCCTATGTCAAACTTTGAGGTCATCCACTAAAATCAATGGACAAGTCCAATAATCTCAATGGGTCTATTCTGAGTATTTACAAAACTGAAATAAAAGTTGTCTCCTTTTCCCTGTTTCCATAAGACTTACTTCCAGCATGGCAGAACCATGCATCATGCAAAAACATTTATCTGCTCTGCATAACTGATGCCAATTTGATTCTGAATGAAGAATAAAGAAATCTATGCAATCCCAAAGCACCTAGAAAATAGTTTTACCTCCTATTTTCTATTAGACCACATAGTGTTGCTGCTGCTGCTAATATAGAAATTCTGCAGAAATTCTGCAGAAAGGAGATGCAGCTTCAAGCATTCTGTAATAATAGATGCTATGACAGACAGACTGCTTAAGCCTATACTTTGATAGCCACTTTCTAGAGAGTATCCTCCATTTAACATAGTATATCTTCTTAGTAAATATGGACCAGACTGCAGTGTAAATTTAGTACCTGAAATGGGAGCGGCTTTGTTTAACAATCCCACATCCTCTTCAAATTCTGATGCAAACACTGATGAGGGCAAGTTAATGGTGGGGGCCTAAAAAGCAAAAAGAACAAAACAGCAGTCATTCCCCCCTCCCTAAAAAATTACTCAAGACACAAAAACCACCAAATATTACTACTGTTTTAAAAAAATATTTGCCTCTTTCTTCTGAAATTGGAGACACAGCACATGTATGTTCATTCCCCCCCACAGTGGACTAGTATCTGTAAGAATTTCTTCTACATAGGCTTCTCTGGAGTGCAAGCTGACAAGCAAGGCTGCTGGAATCCAAAATCCTGCTTATAAGTAACTTCTAGAAAATGTCCCAGGTTGTTGTTTTTTTGTGGATGCACAAACTATGATGTTATGGCAGTATGTTCCATCACCAGTAGCCAACTTATTAATTGATACGTGTTGGGTAAAAATATTCCCTCCACACCTCTAATCCTTCCAGATGGCTGCCAAAGAGACATACAGCACTCCCCCCCCCGCCCCGTCTCATAGGTTGAAAAGGGCTTCTATAAATCTGCTTGACAGAAACTGAATTTAAAAATTACAAAACTTTGTCATTTGTGTTATTAGCTACTATTATTACAGACTTATTCACACCAATAGTAGTTAAAAAGCCATGTTAGTCCATTGTAACAAAATTCACAGAATCAATCAGTGAAAGAGGCAGTTGCATTTTTGTTCTCATTGCTACAGTACATTGCTTTTGAGCGTAGTTCTTTGTGGCAAGGCTGGTTACAAAACAAACTGATGATAATGCTTAGTAACATTTATATTCTGGGAGAAACGTGTGGCTGAGGTTATAAAGTAACCTAAAAGACCAGAAGCCTGGCTCTGTGACTTTGTGATGGTCACAAAACACTTACGGCTGCCTTAGTAACAGTTGCTAAGGAGGGAGGTTTCAAGATGACTGTCTGAAAATGACTAGTGGGAGAAGCTCCCTTTGTTTATAGATGGACCAGGTGTAGAATAAAATGCAATTTGCTTCCATCAAGGGGTCCATAAATTCAACTGCCTGTTAGAATTTGTTCATGCAGAATCACTGACTAGTCCCTGAAAGAAGACAGACAGGTAAGGCTTCCCTGAAAGGGGCAAGGAAACGAGTGGTCAGAAGGCTCGGGCTGGAGGGAGAACAAAAGGCCAATCTGTCAGCTGGCTGCCAACTAGAGGAGAGCAGAGCTCAGCTTGGAAAGTAATTCTGGCAGTCTGTGAGAAAACTGCTGGGAAATGAACTGGCAGCTGGGGAGAGCACGAAGGCATGCTCTGAGGTAGTGGTGAAGCTTCAAGTAGGCACCAAAATCCAGAACCAGAGGGTTTCAAGATGAGCTCTTGACCAGAGGGTGAATTTCAGCAAACATCTGAACTATTCTAGAAGTCAACATGAAGAAGTCTGCTGCTCATTCCTCCTTATGGCTGCCTGGTGTGAAGGTCAAGCAAATCGGGTCCCAGGGAAAAACTACTGGGGGCTTATCTGGCTGCAAAAAACCCTCTTAGATGTTAGGAACTGTAGCAGCAGATACCCTGGTTAACTGAAAACTGTACACTTAATAAATTGCATCCTACCATCTGAAAAGCAACACTTTTTCCCTTTTTATGTAAATAATTCACTTAACAAAAAATCAAGTTTGTTCATCTGTCTCTAATTGTGTTGTCAATCCCATGTCTATGTCATAGGAAGCAGGCTCCTGGGTTTCTTCAAGACATAGAGGATTTATTTTGGCAGCAGTGGTTAAAGGTTTTATAGTGAATGCAACATTTGTTAAGGCCTGCCTGAGAACTTTATTAGGTATTACGGTAGGAAGTTCCATAGACTGAAGCCTCAAAGATTTCAAAAACAACAACATAGGTGTGATATCCGCAATGTATCATCACAACATCTATTAAGTTAGATGTTTTCAGAATACTTTATTTAATAATTTCAATCCTGCCTTTTTAAAAAAATAACTTTTTAAAATCATGACTTCTTTGCTGAATCTCCTTTTGAGAATACCATGACAAGTATATTGTGTACTTACTGGAATTTGCTGAATTTCCTCTTGTACATCTCCTTCTGTGGTCACAACAATCCTGCCTTGTTGACTGGGTATGCTTGATGGAACGAGCTCAGACGGTCCAGAAGCTTCTTTGAGATGTTGCAGGTAGTCATAATCATCATCAAAGAATACTCCATATTTCCTCTGTTCCTCTCTTCTTTTTTCATCAACTCCCTAGAGGTATTTTTTTAAAGGAAGAGGTCCCAAATTTATTTATTTGTGTAATAATTCCAGTTATGAATCACTTCCTATGAAACATTTCAAAGCAGTTTAACAATAAAAGCATCTGCCCAGTATTTTTGCTGAACATAGATTACGAGGAAGCAAATATTTCAGGGAGAAAGCAGGCACTTTGGATACAGTAACTTTCTAAACACTTTTTATGAAGTGTGTGAACACAGATTTTAGCATTCCCTCACCTCCAAATAGCCCAATTAGATTTTTCTTTGAACCATACTTCCTTGAAAACTACAGAGTATGTATGCCACATGGTTTCAAAATGCAAAAATTGTAATGCAAATAAGTGCTAGGGAATTATTACACATTATTACAAACCCCAAAACTTCAAGGCTGAAATAATTTCTGGCTCAATTCTCTGAAAAGTAAAAGCTCAGCCACTTTCCTACAACACTGTATTTTATAACCACCTTCTGTGCAGGTAGCAGAACTCTTTGGGGTGCAGTGTCATCTGCTGCCAAGGGGTCCCTCTGACTTCTGTGTACTAGATGAAAGGTTACAGCTTTTTTCTTTTCTATGAAGGGTTTCTTCCGCCTGTGAGGCTGCAAAACAAAGTAAAGATACTTAAGAATGATCCATAATTGACAATTTTTCTGCCTAACTATATGGACTGCATTTGACTGAAACTTCCAATAACTTTTACAAGAATCTAAAATTGAAAAGCAAAGCAAATTAGTCAAAAGTTGTTTGGTTTATAGGCTTACCCACTGATCTGGTGCCTGTAGACACACATGCACTCGGCACCCTCATGATATCATTTCCTTGCTGGCTTGAAATAAGCATTCTGCTGTTGTCAAGAGATTAGGCTGTGGTGTGTACTTGCCTGCATGGAGTATGTGTGTGGTACCCAGGAAAGTTTTGCGGGCTTTCAAAACTGGCAATCCCTAGGTTAACAAACACACACTTGCAGCAGTCAACATTTACGCACTTGTTTTATGTCTCTGACATGGTCTTACAGATCTCAGCTTCTTGTAGGAGAGATCCTGATTGTTCCAAATACCTTTTGCCTGGTGGGTAAGAAAGCCAGAGCAGGCCCAACCATGAGGCAGGGTGAGGTGGCTGCCTCAGGCGGCACCCCCCAAGGGGCAGCATGCCGGTTCTGCCAACCAGCTTTGTTGCTGGTCTCTCTGCTGGGTCAACAAAAGGGGAGGCGTTCTGCCACCCAGCACTGCCACCAGGCAGGGTTGAGATCTCCCTGCCTGGTGGTGTGGCAGGAGAAGCCGGTGCAAAACCTCTTTGCTGGGTAGGAGCAGGGGATCTGGAATCTCGCCCTGCTGCTTGGCGGGTGAGACTCCGCAAGGAGAAGCTCTTACAGAGCTCTTACACTCCATTGAAGGGTGGCAGTGGCGCATTTCACTTCAGGTGCCTTAACGCCTTGGGATACCCATGAGGAAAGCAAAACAAATATGTTTCTTCGTTTGTTGTGCAAGCAAATATCAAGATTACAAAAGTGATATTTGAGAGACCTTGACTGCGTACACGGCATACATTTAAAGCACATCTCCCCAGGAATTTTGTGAAGTGTAGTTTTGCTGGGAATTGTAGTGTGTTGAGGGTCAGCTACAGCTCCCAGAGATGAGGGGAAATGCACTTCACACGTATGGCGCGTATGTAGCCCGTGCCATCTGCCTTCATTTCTGCCCCACTGTTATGCCTACTCAATCCCCCCACAACTGCTAAGAAAAGGCCACTGTGGCTTAGGTCTCCAGCCCCGTCCCGGCAGGGAAGAGGCCGGAGGAACAACAGCACAACTTCTCCCGAGGCTGCCAGCGCGACCCCGCGAGGAGGCGCGTCATGCTCAGAGCGCGCACGCAGGCTCCTCCTCCTCAAGCCGCCTTCACCTGCCCAGCCACCTACCATGGCGCGAGGACACGGACGTCGCCGTCGTCACCCACCGAACGCTCCAAGACCCCCTCAGCACGCGACTTTTTAAAAACCAGCACAGCAGCTGCCCGTGGCCACTCTGCTTCACGTGCGTCCGGCTCCGGCGTCGCTCTGGTTTCCCCTCTCTATGGCGTCCGTTCATCCGCCGTCGTTAGAACATACCAATTCATACTAGGCTGCTCAGAAAGAGGGGGGCAGTGGGAGAACCCACTCTACTTCTACTTCATTTGAATAGCACTGATGTAGAAATACTTATCGTTAAGAGAAAAAGTTGCCGTGTCTGCTATTGTACGAAGTTACACGGAGTAAAAGAACAAAAAACCACCCCCGGCAAAAGAGTTCAATGGTGTTGACCCTATTTGCCAGGCGGAAGTGCTCGTGGGAAACGGAGCGGCACTGGAGCTCTGGTACAAATGAAATGCCCCGCTCTTGGCCGTGAGTCTCTATGGTATCAAAGTGATGTCACTCTATCCCACGGCATCTCAGTGGTGAAACCTCAGCTTATTGGGAGATCTGTGTGCCTGAAGTAATAGGGGCAAATGAATGTATACAGTGGTTGCATGTACAGTATACGGAAAGCACCAATGTGTACTGCAATGCCGTGTGACTTCATTTTTGCGGCATCATCTTTCGTGTGCTACAATCTATTTTATCTTAGGGGCGATATGAACCTTTCTTTCACCATAGAGAGAATTCAGGGACAGGGTGACACATTTTAGCCCCCCACCCCACCATTGCAGAAATTAGAATATATTTATTTCTACCTTTCCTTCTTGTTTGCTTAAATTAAAGTGATAGCTCAGGAATTGTCTGTTTTGCTTTTATTGCTGTGTCAGGAGCTTTGTTTATTGATGTATGCATGTAAATTCTGTAAATAAATGCTTTATGCACAATCATGTCAAGGCAATGTATAATAAAAACAGGAACACGGGCACACATACACACAAATCCATCGATACATTTTTTAAAAAAACAACCCTAAAACAATGCAAAATAGACACTCCTGGCAAAGACCCATTTACCCAGCTGGGAAAGCCTGTGTGAACAAAAATCTTACCTGTTATTTTTTGACAGGAAAGCTATTCCACAGAACAGGGGCAGCCACACTGAAAGCAGTGCTCCAGATTACTGTGGGGCAGGCTTCTGAGATCTTTGGAACTTGCAGAAGAAACTCCTTCAGAATACAGTGATCTATTATTCTACTGGGCATTTAAGGAGTAGGGTCTGTCAAATAACCTGATCCTGAGCTGTATAGAGCTTTAATTGTTAGTACCAACACATCAAACTTGGTCTAGTAGCAAATTGGCAATAAGAGCCTATCCCCCAAGCAAGGTAATTTGTGGTAGTTTTCTCAAAGCAACCTTTCATGATATTAAAGTTGATGAGTGGAACAAGTACTGTAATTAAGGTGCTCACATTGTTCCTCAAACATGAGCCTCCAGCTGATGTTGGACTAAAACTCCCATCATCCCTACCTCACTTCATAAGAAACAACTGGGGCAGAAGCTGCCAAGAGGAAGGTTCTAATTAAAGGTGCAGATGACCTCTGTTAAGTGGAACTTCTCAGTAAACATAAAAGATCTTGGGTAAGGGAACAGGCATTGCTAGGTTATATAGCTCAATATTAAGTCCTTAATTAAACCACTGTTTTAATTCCACTTCTAGCCAATGGCAGAAAAACATTTCCTCAGCCGTGCAGTAGCAAGGATTTTCTTTTGGGGGGGGGCAGAATCAACATGATTGGTCAGTTAGTTATTTCTACTGTTTAACTTGATCGTGAGGGGGCAGCTGCCCCCCTGCCCACACCCATGGCCCTCTCCACCAATTACATTTCTGGGGTCTGAGTTTGCCTATCAGCAATACAGCTGTGTTCCTAAGCCCTTCACATGTTAACTAGCATCATTAGAGCTGACTGCATATCTCCTACATAAAGGAGATGCAGCTTCAAGCATTCCTGCCCTGCCTTCCTTGTCCCATTGCTCACTTCTTGCTTGCTTGCTGTGGGAAAACAAATGAGAGCCCTGTGAGAAATGGGATCAGGGCAGGAAAAGAACAGTGGCACCATCTTTTGTGGCTGTGTGTGTGAGAGAGAGAGACAGACAGACAGACAGACAGACAGACAGACAGACGGTCTCCAGGTTGTGACCTAAGCATTTTGGAGAGAGAAGTAAGGAGGTGAAAAACTGATTTCAGTATGAAGTTTCAGTGCCAATTTCTCTGGGCAATATCCAACTAAACCATACTCAAGAGAATACTAACTTGATTTCAGTGGGTCTACTTAGAGTATGACAACCATTAGGGTATCACCATTTTTCTCTCACATAGCTGAGGAGCAAGCTTTAGACCATGTTCTCCAACCAGTAACAGAGATAGGAGTGCTGAATTTACTTCTCCTATTCATTATGATATGTTATAATACAGCAGCATGACAGAACAGTTTCACTTTATTTCTGAACCCATTTAACTGATGGCAATGAGGGAACAGAACAATATTGATTATTTTTCTTTGCTATGTAAGGTATTCAGATGTTTCATTAGGTTATTAGTAGTTGTTAGCAATATCCCTGTGCACCTACCCAACATTTAGAAACTATGTGTATCTCAATACGATAAGACTTGGAAAGACAATTATTTTTTATTTTGGAGATGTGGGGAATACAGCCCACTGCACTTAATGCAAATGTAAATGTATTAGTAATGAACATGATACAATATTACCAGCTTAACTGTGTGTCCACTTTTTAAAGATTTCTGGCTGCAATCCCACATAAACTTAGTTGTAAGTGCCTTTGAGCTCAGTGGGGCTTAAGTCAGAGTACACACATACTGGACTGCTCTGTCGGACATTCTTAACTTTTATAACTAAAGCTAACCCAGAAGAATACAATCCAAGTGTTGAGGTAAAAAATAATAATTAAGTGACAGAGACCATTTATTGCCTGAAAAAAATACATATCTTTTATAATTAAGAACTAAACAGGGCACATAGACAAAAATAAATTGTAGTATGTACATACATTAAAAAGGATAAATAGCATATATATATATATATATATATTGTAATACTGCAATACATGCCGTTGTGTATTTCAGGCCCAGAAGTTTCACCGTGTACATTAAAAGGATAAATAAGTGCTAATATAAGACAATTTTTAGTGTAAACAATGTCATAGGCTTACAATAAGCCAACATACTCAGGGCCAACATAATAAAGCACATATTGCCTCTCTCACCATCGTATACTATTTAAACTTAACTAAACATGTATTCACAAATACAATTACAAGATAGTATAAAAGTAGACAATTTGCTTCGCATTATTAACACACAACAAATACAGGCTGTAGGTTCCAAGGCCTTTCTATAATTTTCACAAGGTCCTTTATGGGGATGCTGTAGGGACACCTACGGAACGACCCTTCCCCACACAGGCACAGAGTCCACTGGCTGAGAGATCCCTGAAGGGCATGACAGAGCTCTGGTTTCACCCGTTTGGTACATGGATATACCTTTTAGGGAATGGGAGATAAGAACATAAGACGAGCCGGCTGCGTCACAACAATGGCCCCTCAAGTACAACATCCTGTTCCCACAGTGGCCAACCAGATGCTTATGGCAAGTCCACAAGCAGGACCTGAGATCTGTATTCACCGTCCAGCCCTTTCCCCTCAACTTGATCAAGCAGGCTGGACAAAGATGTAAGAAATGTGCACAGGCAGCCTCATTCCTCAGACTGTCCTGACACAATGCTAAAAGAGGAGAAACAAGGCTCTGTTATGTGGAATAGGTTCTCCCCACCCCCCATTTGAGGACACAGTGGTCACATAGGGAAGGGCCGTGCCCATACTAATATTCTCTGCACATAGTCCCAAACACAAAGGCAATGTAATACCCATATATTCTGTGGCCAGCAAATGATGTTGTCTATAAAAAAAAGTCTGCTCTTTCTGCCCTGGAATGGCCAACTACGAGAGTGCTGGCACACGGCAGTAGCATGAGGCTGTGCAGTTTAGAGGGAAAGTCTTGGCAAGTGATGAACAGCTTCTAGGTCTTATACTATGTACTCTGATCCAAGAATCTGTTAATGTAGCTGAAGCTATAAAGATAAAAAATAGACCCAAACCACTTGCTAAACTGCTTTATTGTTCACTTTCATTTCTGTTTGGCTTCAGAATTTGATTGTCAAGACTCGCAGCCTAAGCAAGGCTAGAAGTCAGCAATTCAGCCCCGACTTCAAAAACCAGATTTTTCAAAAGGCATTTCTATCTGCATCTTTTCATTATAATTTCACATATTGTCCTTCCTCTACATGTTTCTCAAATTAGTACATGATTATGGAGGACCATGATTTTCCTTTAAAAAAAAAAAATCTATGTTGCAATCCTGGACATAGTTGCACGCTCAAAAGTTCTGACCTCCTTCTACTGCCCAGCTCTGCTCAAGATTGTAGCCTCAATGCACTTTTTAAAAAGCATGACAGTCATATTTTTATTATTATTATTTAAAAGCCTATGAATCCAGCTAGGACTAATTACTGGCAAATTCACTGGCACTGCACTTTATTGTAAGCCCTGTTTATGAAGAGAGAACTTTATGTTCTCCACTTGGCTATGAAAATTTGAGGATTCTGGAACAGTACACACAGAATTGCTCACATTCTTGGATTTGCACTTTTAAGAAGTTATCCAATACCCCCATATAGCATTAGGTTAATTTCACCCTAACATTATTCTATTGGCTGACAGGTAGGGACTCTCTTCTGTCTGTTTCTAACCTACATGAAAGTGGATCCTGGCAACAATTAGCCTCACTTCTCTCTTTTCTAGCCAAAAAAAGGTATAATTTACTCTGAATAAGATGACCTCAATACCATTTCCTCTCATATCATGCAACTGCTTTCACATTCCTTCCAGGATCTCTCTTAGATTCATCACTTTTGTAAAATGTGGAGGCCACATTGTTCAATGACTTCAGGTTAAACGGCTGCAGACATTTCAGTTGCGGTGCACTCTTGAGATGCTGTGCTCTCCCCATGTTGGAAGTTTGTGTCTGGATTGCAGGATATTTTCAAACACTTATGGACGGTGAAACCTGCAGTAGATAAAAAGAAAAATAAACCTTTATTTCAAAACCTTTCTTCCTGTTCCTGGAGATTTAGCATGGGTCCAAATATCTGTAAAAGCCAAAACATTCAAATTCTGTTTTCTTTGTATATGACTTGAATCTGTATTTCAAATGTGTTTAAGACTGAACTGAGCAACATGGATATAAAATGCCTGCTAAAATGTTTAAATCTCCATGACTGACAATGTAAACGCTTGCTTCTTGGCTCTCTGTGGGCTGCTGGATCTGGAATAATGTTCTAATAATTACAGAGATTGGAAGGATGAAAGTTGAATGGACATTTGTGGAAGACAGAAGGCTTAAAACATGTGATTAATTTTGACCTCTTAAAACTGGGGGGAAGAGATGTTGATGGCAATCCTTTATTTAGATTACATTTAGAATGGTTTGGTAATCCTTTTTAATTTAACAGCAGGATGCCTTCCCACTTTGCCTATTACTTTAAATTAGGGGATTGGCAATTGCTTTGGAGATGGGGGAGAAAGTACTTTGCATTTCCTGTCTCTTACATACTAGAAATAGAGCTTTTTGCCTTGCTGCATGAATTGCAAAGAAATGCAATGTTTAGGGAACAGGAGGTGCAAAAACCTTGTGCTTTGATCATGTCAGAAGCCACTCTCAGAAACACAGACAACACGGGCTTCTGTAATGCCTACATTTAAAGCAGTCCACCAGAGGAACCACTTTGTAAGGTATTTAGACTCTTCTCCTGTCTTTAGTACATTTTATGCATTTATTTGAGACATTTAGCACATAGTGACTCGGGATGCCCCACTGGAAAAAGAAACTGAATGGGTGGTATGCCAGTATCAGCCACCACTGAAAGTTACAGCAATGTGCAAAATTGTTCATGTGCCAAAGAAATATGCTGAAAAGCAGCAGAATGAAGCTAGCATTCCAAAATGCAACTTGCCTACTCCAGTGGTACCTCTGGTTACGTACTTAATTCGTTCCGGAGGTCCGTTCTTAACCTGAAACTGTTCTTAACCTGAAGCACCACTTTAGCTAATGGGGCCTCCCGCTGTTGCTGCGCCGCTGCTGCTCGATTTCTGTTCTCATCCTGAAGCAAAGTTCTTAACCCGAGGTAATATTTCTGGGTTAGCGGAGTCTGTAACCTGAAGCGTATGTAACCTGAAGTGTTTGTAAGCCGAGGTACCACTGTACTGGTACAGAGTTAATGCTGCAGCCCTATGTGCTAAGAAGTACAGTTGTACCTTGGTTCTCGAACGCCTTGGTATTCATACGTTTTGGCTCCCGAACACCACAAACCCAGAAGTGTGTGTTCCGGTTTGCGAACGTTTTTCAGAACACAAACATCCAACGTGGCTTCCGACTGAAGTGCCGGAAGCTCCTGCAGCCAATTGGAAGCCGCGCCTTGGTTTTTGAGCAGTTTGGGGAGTAGAACGGACTCCCGGAATGAATTAAGTTCGAGAACCATGGTATGACTGTAATGGTGCACAGAGCACAGTTGGACAAAGCAGCATGGCAGGCCAGGCATGGTCAACTTCCCTCTTCATACTGGGCTCTGCTGTTGCTATATTCAAATAAGCTATTCATTCCAAAAAGATAACTACAGCCAGAAATTTCTGAAGGGTTCTCCCCAACCTAATGCAAGCCCTCCCCTGCCCCAGCTTTAAGTGAAGTTCATATGTGCTACATCAGTGAAAGCAGAGGCAGGGACAAAAAACTGTAGATAAATGCAAAGCTATCAAGCTGGCTTTTATTTGTCAGGAAAAGAAGTGAAACAAAGCAGATGAACTTTGTCAGGATGCTGATAGCTCATAAAATCATAAAAAAGTTATCCATGTTCCTGGTTGTGTGTAGTAATTTCTGCCAAGACAAGGAGGACACTGTGCAGGTAGCCCATACCTCAGGCCCCACTGCCACAATCATTTGTACCAAGAAATCAAGGACTAGGCTGAGGTGCGGGTTTTTGCTGCATCAGGGCCAGATCTAGAAATCCTTCCACACTTAAAAGATCATTATTTTCAAACAATGGCAAATGACATACTTGCATGATGACCTTTTAAAACAAATGTCACCTGGCAGCCATATGTGGCAGGGTGTGAGGGACTCAATAAGCTGCTTTTCATGCCTACCTGAGACTTCACAAGGGTGTGTTTGTTCAAGCACCAGGCAGGCTATAACATATTGCTAATAGCCTGTGTTCAACAAGGTGAACCACAGGTTGTAAACCTGGTATATAAGGAACCAGGTATCAGAAAATATTGCTTCTGAAAATTGAAATACAATCTGGGGGTTAGTATTTCAATCTGGGGTTGAACCCCCAAGTTTCCTTACCTTGTAAACTGCCGACTCTCTTCATGTACTTCCATTTCGGTGCTTTTAAATTCATTTAATTCTTTCCTTATTGCTGCCTAGTTTAAAAAACAAAGTATGAGATAAGACTGCACACACACACACACACACACACACACACACACACACAATGTAATAATGTAATGAATATATATTTTATGTAATGTATTCACCATTCTGGAAAGAGCAAAGTATTATTTTGTGTCTAGCCCATTTTTATGTCTTAACATATACAGTTAAACTTCTGTTCTCTTCATATCTCAGTGCAACCCCATATTTAGTCAGTTTGAATATTATACCATGCAAAGTTGTACACCATGATGTTTTAATTGTAGCTAAAACGACAGACCCACCCCCCGAACCAACAGGTGAAATCCAATACCTAATCCAGAAAGAGACCCCCAAACCCCACTTTAGATTTTACATCTATGGACTTGTTGCTGAATAGCTGCAATTCAGGGCTGCTTCACGTGTTCCACTTACATGGTGGTGTTTGATGATCTTGCTCTTATGTCAGTTCTTTTACAATACACAAATACTCATGTCTATTAAAAAAAATGTGCACCACTGATCTGCTCTCACAGCCTCAGCACACCTACATTCTTAGGTGTGTTTCACAAGACACAGGAAATGACATACAAGGCCCTGCTATGTTGTCTCAGCTCAAAGTCAAATTTTTCTTCCCATCTTCTTTATCTAAAACAGTATTTATGGTTCATAAGATAATTCCAATAGAAAATGGCTCTAGCTACAAAGAGTGCTGGGAATAGAGGTCTTGCAGCAGTAGAGACAGAAAGGGAACCAACCACCTGTTTAATGGGCATCCACAAAGTGATTATAGCAGAACACAGTTCTAGTCTAGTGGCTGACTAATACTTCATGCATAGCAATTGCAAAGAACTGCAGGATTCCTGCCTTTCTTGACAGAGGACAAGATATGAGGCATGTAAGATGAATAATGCTTCCTGTCTAGAAATTAGCTCCTATTTCAGTTTTCTGTAACATCAGGTGAAATATTTGGACATTCTAGGCCTTTGTTTTCAGGTGACAGATTATTAAAAAGCAAAGTAGCCATTCAGTGTACTTTACATTGGTAATGAGAGTTGACATTTAAAAAGAAAAACTAATCACTTTCCTATCTCTTCATTTATTCCATAGTAATTTTCTAAAAAGGCTAGCTATCTGCGTACAGCTATTACCACAAATACTTTTATGATAATCACTGCTTTTCGCCCCCATCGCTCCATGAAGGTCATAGCTACTCTTATTCTATGCTTGCATTTTGTTTTTTGAAAACACCATTAATATCTCTCAATAATCCTTTATAAAAGGCATCTCATTAGAAGTAGAAATCTTTCAGTGCAGGACAGAATTGCAGCACGAAACAATTATTATGCTGTGTCACCACAATGATATATCTCTAACCGCAGTCTCCTGTTTCAGAAGAGGATTATCTTGCATAATTCTCATAGTGATGTTGAAGCATAAGAGTTATGCAATAGCAAATGAAGTGTTAAGTACCAGAACAGATATCTCCTACTTTAGCATATTAGGCCAGAATTAGAGACCTCCTCTCATATTCCCCTCAATACAGTCATGTGCGATTGGGAACCTTGACCCAACCAGGGTTTCTAAGCACATATACAGGCCTTACATGTATAGAGTTGCATATGTTAAAGGTAAAAGACCTTACTCACAACCCAATACATAGTGGGGCCAAGTGGGTGCAACATGGTGATTAAAAGCTGTGGGGCTTAGGTATCAGCACCTAAATAGAATTTAGATTCTCCTTTTTCTGACAGTGATGTTCAGTAACGCAAAACTGTCAAGAGAATGAAGTGGAGCAAGGCACTGGAAACTTGCAACATGGCGACGTTACATCATGAGTTTTATGTTACTGAACATTAGGTGTGGGGAGAGGAAGTGGAGGTAGAGATGCCAGGCTGCCTAGTTCCAAACTTAGTAGCATGAATTTGCTCCCTGGAATGCTGGAAGAAGCGGGAGAGGAAAGAAGGCTGCACGCACCTTGAGCTATGGTTTAAAGTAGGCATAGGCAAACTTGGCCCTCCAGATGTTTTGGGACTACAACTCCCATCATCCCTAGCTAACAGGACCAGTGGTCAGGGATGGTGGGAACTGTAGTCTCAAAACATCTGGAGGGCCAAGTTTGCCTATGCCTGCTTTAAAGCAACAGTAGGGAATCTTTTTCAGCTGCAGGGCTGCATTCCCTTCTAGGCAACATTCTGGGGGTACATTCCCCACCAGTGGTGTGTAGGGCCAGAAGAAAAAGGGGACAGAGCAATGACCGCAACTTTTACCTTTGTACAGTAGACTCATTTCTGCACACATTCAATCATTCCTCTTTATCCTCCAACCAGAAAAAAAATAGTTGAGGGAGCTCAAAGATAATATTCCACCCAAGAAGGGTATGAATTAGGCTGGGGCTGGGGGCTAGGATGAGAGGATACGGCTTGAAGAGAACTCCCAGGGCCAGACAGGGAGAGTCCCTGGGCCAAAGGAGAAAATACATCTGGTCGGTGTATTTTTCCTTCTAGATGGATGTGCTCTGGCCATGGGTACATACATATATTTGGAAGCAACCTCTGCTGCAGGAATTAGTAGGAGTCTCTGCTGGAAAATATAAGGGCAAAGAAAATTTCTGAGATACAGAAACAAAGTTGCATTTATAATCCATATTTGTCTCTTGCCTTGTCTGCAGGGGTTAACCTTGCCCAGGGCTTGTCAGCACGGCGATCATAATCTGGAGAATCTGTTACTTCCACATACTCATTAAAACGCAGGATTCTTCTTGCTTGCAGCTCAGCCACTGTTGGTCTCAGACTGAGCTGTAAAAGAAGGCTAGGTGAACAAACCAAAGGAAAGCAGAGCAAGGACTAATGTTGGAAAAGACACACCCTGCAGATAAGCAGGACCCAGTTTGTTATCAGGATACCCAACTTTTCATGTTGGTGACATATTATTTAGACATGCATCGTTCCACGAAACAGTAATTCGGTTTTCCTAGAAAACCAGTGGACTACCCGCTCCCGTTCCAGCCCTGGGAGGAGCATGGGGAGAGTTCGCACAGCACACCTACACACAGCAGTCGACACACCAATGTGTTGTGTGTGACACACCGTTTGGAAATCTCTGGGTTACGGAAGACATTTTGTGTACCTTTCTGCTGAGACTGCGCTTCAATTCTCTTTTAGCTTCTTGTTCCTCTTCTTCATTCTTTTCTGTTTTTAGATGTACGAGAGAAAAGGTAGGAATAATTAAAAGGAATGTTAACTACTGTATAGCACTAGGCTAGTTTGAGTACAAACACTTTCAACTTTATTCCTAACTCATTCTGGTTTCCTCCCCTTTTTACTTCTCAGCATGTTACAGTCACTGTCCCAGATGAGGAACAGTAGATGGGCAGCCTTCATTATTACCAATCAAAGTAGAGAGAGCAAGAAACCCAAAGAAGCAATAGTTAAACTGAATGTGCCATGAATAACCTTAGGCAAAGTGGTTGCTTTCAGACATCCTGCGTAACAAGCATCCATCCTGATTTGTTTGAGGGGAGATGATGTTGTATCAGAGCCAGTGTTATTCCACATTTTCTAGTATATCTCCCCATCACTTTCCTTATTGAAAAAAGTCCAGTCTTTGGGGGAAGCAGGTTTGTTGCACAAGACCTCCCAATCCACTATAATTGGGAGCCCTGAATTTGCTGGCATGTGATTGAATCCCACCTGACTACCAACAATCTGGAAGCACCAATCCTGTATGGTACGCTCATAGCCCTTCGTCTTGATCTGCCAGCACCCCTTTTTATATAGTACCATGCTACCTTCCTGTTTATTTAATTTCACAGGATTTTTGTCCACCTGACTGACTGTTGGTCGCACACAGTTCAGTTTTGTGCTCTAATGTAATCCAACAGCATAAAACTGAATTTTCCATCATGTCCTCTGGGGATTAGTTATGTTTATATAACTTTGTAGGCTTGCTAAGGAAATGAAAAAGAAAAGACAAACAGAGCTCTGGGATACTGGAATACTACAGAAAGCAGATTCTGTCTGCTGGTTTTATATGTAGTGATAATCATTAATATTCTTCAGCTGGCACATAGAGCTATGACGTGTTTCTAGAAAGCTCGTTTTGGCAAGATGGCAAAGCCCACAGACATCAAGGCTCCAGATCTGCAATTTGCTAGATATACAATGGGTATTAATGAATCTTGGTGCTAAGAAGATATTTAACCTTCTTGCTGTCATGCAAACTGCAAACTAGTTGCATAGGCAATATGCCATGGTCACAAAACAAGATGTTTGATTCAAGCAGCTGTACAATGTTATAAGCTATCTTCATTCACCTGTCATGGCTCAGAATTCCGGAAATGTCTTTAAATTCATTTGACCCAGATTTCAGGTTGGCATCTGATATGATCATGCACTATCTTAGAGTCTCCAAGAAAAAGAAATTATTTATAGATAATACATAACACACACACACACACACACACTGCTCTGCTTACGTCTTAGGATGTTTCTTTGTTCTAGTTCTTCTGAAGTAGGCCTCTGGCTAAGCCTCCTGCAAAAAGGGAAAATAATGCATATTTTCAGTCACTAAGACAGAGAACTGAAATGCAACAGCTAAATTTATTTTCAAACCAAAAATGTCAAATGCCAGTTTATACTAATGGTGGCTGTATCAAATGTGTTGCTGAATGGGATTAACATGGGTTTAGATGCATATTTAGCATTTACTAAATACTAATGTGCTTATCAAGTCACATTTAACCTTTCACAAGATCAGCTATGTATCTGAATTTTTTATTTCATAAAATGCGTATAACTGCTTGATTGTTCAAAAACAACCCTCAATATCATAAAGCAAATAATCCATTAAGTAACAGTGGGAGACACTCATTTATTTCACCATCCTCAGGCAATGCATGAGGGAATCTGTTCAGATGATGCAAGAAGAAAATAAAAGGTTAGATTTCAGGCAAAAGGCTTAGAAAAACATGCTCAGTTAAAGCAAAATGCTCTTTATGTCAAGTAACTTCAGAAGTAGTGCATAAAAGTTGTATCAATGTAAGATGTGAATTGATCAGAAAAATTACCCAACAAGATGTATGAAGTTCAGATTTTTCAAGCCAGCTAAGTACTTGTCATATGACAAAACAAAGCAGCAACCACTTGCAGTTAAAATGATTCATACCTGAAATGCTATTTGTTTGTTTTGCTTTATGTATTTGGCCTAGCTTCTATCCAAAACACATGAATAAGCAGGATGGGAATGCGACCAAGATATCAGTGATCAACAGCTGTATTATTTTTGTTGCGGCTTTGTGTGGGGAAGTGTTGAACAATAGCAAATTCCTTCAACTGAAAACAAATAAAGTCAGATCAAGTGTCATAGCTGTAGTGGGTTCATAATTATGAAGTGTGATTTATTTTATAATGTTAGGACATGCCTCAGCTCACAGAACAGGAAAACATCTGGGTCAGACCCCAGACCTGCCTCCATTCTCTTTTCCCACCCCCCAAAATGTGCTCAGATGACAACCGATACCTCACTAGCTTTGTGCCAATCTGATGTCTGATTTCCTGCCTCTCCTCTTCAGATGTTCTCGGCAAGATGTTTTTGTCTTCCAGTTCTTTTTTCGATGGCCTGTTGCCAAGTTTGATTGCAAGAGTATCCCTACGGCGTATTTTGCTTGCTAAAGAGCCTGGGATGGAATGGAAGAAGAGGATAAAGGGAGGGAGAGGTTCATTGATTCATTCATATTTGGGCTTAAACATGCCAAATCCCAGCAAAAAGCTTTTTAATGCAACGCGTGGACACTTTCTATCTTTACGTTCTTTCAATGGAGGAAATTTAATTAGCATCTGAAGCAAAATACTTTTGACTTACTTCATGCCCACAAGAATTTGAATAACTTAGAAAATAACAACCTGCCTGCTAGGGTGCAGTCAGAAAGTTCACAAACTTTCCCCAGTGCCTATGAAAGAACTTGATATAAAATCTCAGCTTTAGCAACTTGCTGCATAGTAAGAATGCAGTTTCAGTTCTCTCATTAATGCATTTGCATTTTTTTAAAATATTGTCTTCAACAATAATCAACAAGCAATTATTTCTAAACAAATTTATAGCATGCATTTATTATTATATATTTATCACACTGTTTGTTTTTAAAAAAGTTATTTTAGTGGTCTCAGACAAATCCAGAACAACAAGTTTCTGGATGATGATAATATGTACTCAAAAAACAAATGGAACAAATCAAAACCCTTTGACCCCTATGTACATTGATTTATTTAAGTGGCACGTATACGTAATTTATTATTTAAGATATATTTATGCCCATCCTTTGCCAAAATAGTCTTCTAGGATAATACTAAGAGTCTTCTAGGATAATACTAAAATACAGGATACAATACACAAATAATAACAATGTAAAATAGACAGGACACCAGCAAGTACAGCATTAGGAAAAGGCAATTAATAGGAATCTCAGATACCACTAAGAGCAAATAAAGGCCCAGGCATATTAACCTGGTACCAAAATGACCTATACAGTGGTGCCCCGCAAGACGAATGCCTCGCAAGACGGAAAAACCGCTAGACGAAAGGGTTTTCCGTTTTGAAGTTGCTTCGCAGGACGAATTCCCCTATGGGCTTGCTTCGCAAGACGAAAATACCTTGCGAGTCTTGAGATTTTTTTCGCTTTCCCCCTTTATCTAATCTGCTAAGCCTTTAATAGCCTTTAATAGCCTTTTAGCAGCTAATCCCCTAAGCCTTTAAGCCTTTAATAGCCGCTAAACCGCTAATAGCGCTAATAGCGCTAATCCGTCAATGGGCTTGCTTCGCAAGACTAAAAAACCGCTAGACGAAGACTCTCGCGGAACGGATTAATTTCGTCTTGCGAGGCACCACTGTATGTGGAAAAAACTTTAATTTGGGTGCCTATTCTGGGCCAGCACCTAGTTTGAGTGTCCTCTGCTCTAGCCTCCTGCACCATCTTGTTGCTTCTGCCCATGAACTTGCAGGAGGGCAGCAAAAACAGGGGCTGCCAAGCAGCCTGGTACCGAAGAGAGAAGTGTTAGGCCAAGAAGTTGCAGCCACCACAATGTTAACTTTCCCCAAATGCCTCTGGCCCACATATCTGAGCCCAGATACATTTGGGGGAAATGAAGGCGGCAATGACTACAACTGTCTCACACAGGCATGTCTTTCTTCATGCTCATTAAAAAAAATCTTTTTAAAAAATGTGTAAAACTGCAATTAGACTGCATGAAAGTTCACAGAACATGAGACTTCTGTATAAAATGGAGTATCTAATTTGACCTGGGAGGAGGTCCAAGGGAGCAATTTCAGCAGACACATCTTTGCTGAAACCTGAGAGAGATCTGGAGGACTTTTGTCTGGGAATCTAAACCAGCTTCCCCACCCCACATTTCTGACCTTCAACATTAGCAGTATGCTACAATGCAAGACTGCTGCAAGTCAGTCTCTATCAGCGCAGTCCCTCAACCTGCGATCACAGTATAATAGTGTGCTACACTGTAAGGTTCATGCACCTGCACATACACCCTGCTGCAACAGGTAGTGTGCCATCACCTCTGCAGTTCCAACAACTGAAGTAAGCAAGGTGGTATTCCTTAACTACGTAGACGTTTGTCTGGGTAAGGGTTTGACTTGATGGAGGATCCCAAATAAAGTGGAAGTTGACTCTTCTGACAAGGCGGTAGAATTCTCTGCTCAACAAGTATGTTTCCCTCCCCCGTGTAAACATGGCTTAATGGCTTACTTTCACTACCATCATCATCATCTTCATCATCATCATCTGTGTAGAGTATTGGCCCATCTGAATCAGAGTCACTGGTGTGATTCTCTTTGTAGCTCTCACTTTCTGGAGTGTTTAGGGCTTCAGAAGGTTCATCTGTTGGGGCAGGACTTGGTTGGTCAGGGCTCTCTTTTTCCTGATCTTCTTTGGTAACAGAACTGCAGATCCACAGGGGAGGAAAAAAAAACCTGTAGTACGTGACACAAACACTACAGAAACATGACACTGAGGCTGTTTACATGCGTGCAAACCTTAGGAAAAGGCTGTGTTCAGACATAACACTAAGTCCCAGCTTGTTTTAACTGTAGTATGTTGATCAGCAGAGTAACTGTGCCTTGTTTTGCATTATGTTTAATTTTATAGCTGCTTTTGCTTTGCATTTCTAGAACTATGTAAGAATTAAACAGGATATTGGATTTGGACACAACAAAAAACCATGGTTGATGCAAGCTGAGATTCATAAACCAACTTCAAGCCTTGGTTTCACATTCTGCTTTGTTGGCCACAAACCACTGGCTGATGTGGGTTCAAACATACAAATAAATCACAGTTAATCTAAACAGACCATGGCACAAGCCAGGACACTATGTCAAGCCAGCAGACTTTTAGAAAACAGTAACCAGAACTTAAACCTAAAAATGAGTTGTTTCTACAAAGCACACAGAAGGGGGAGATAATAAAACAACACTATGTAGATTAGGCTAGAATCTATCATGAACCAAGACTTCTGCTTGGTGTTACAAATGGAGAAAGGAGGATAATGCCAAATAATGGTTTCTCCATCCTTTGGGCCATGCAAGCCACCCCTGGTTTGAATGTGGCTTCCAATTCTGGTTTAAAGGCAAACTGTAGTGTGTTCCCAGTTTGCCTGGTTTGGATACAATAGCAGCCTATGGTTTGCTGCAAACCTAGCAGTCAGTGAGAAAACTGAAGGAAAAGAGAGAGCTTGTGAGCTCCATGTTTTGGTGAACTTTCTTTCATTGAAAGTTTTTAAGCAGACTTTGGGTGGCCATCTAGCATGGATGCTTTAGTTGAGATTCTTGCACTGCAGGAGGCTGGACTAGATGACCCTTGGGTCTCCTTCCAACTCTACAGTTCTATGGTTCTATAATCACTCCAGGGGAAAGTATTTTTCTGGGTGAAATACTTGATTAGTTTCTAAATGGCATCATGGCCTTATGCTGTGGAATTGATTTTAAGTACATAATGAGAGCTTTATTTATGCAAGATCTGGAATATATATATATATATATATATATATATATCACAGATAAATAGAAAGAGCTTTAGATTAGAAAAGGGGTAAGCTGTGCCATGTTCCTTTCTAAAGGAATATTCATTTCTTTCATTGTTGCACAGCAGAGCACCAGGCAAAATGCAAGATCCCAATACCAGGTTTCAGCAAACAAGGCAAAGCAAAGCTGTTTTCAAGAAGCACGGCTTGCTACTGGATAGAAGCATTACCAAGGACAGCTCCTTAAATGCAGTCAGCCTCAGAAATGGGGCCATGTCTACCATACTACACCATGTTGGAACAATGAAGTCATTCTAAAACAGAACTCTGAGCCTCATGATATATTCACTCAACCAGAACCATGAAATTTTTTTTAACAACTCTTATGAATGAACAAACAATATGAATAACATATCTCCAAATAAATGGTGAGCTGTAATTTTGGAGCCCTATTTGCAAACTTTCAAATATATATTTGAAACTCAAAGCAGTCTAACCAAGTTATTTTGTATGCTTGGCAATTTTGCTAAAGCTTTTGTTTTGAAAGTTTCTTGTGTATTTTTTTTAAATAAATGAATTGCATAAAATCCTGGCTCCCTCTCTTTCACTTCTGCTTGTGGTTATGAAAATATAATTAAAGAAAGAGAGAGAAAATTAGCAAAACCTTTCTAAGTTTCAAAGCATAGTTCAAACTTTAGGTATAGGAAAGCCTATTTAAATCACTCCACCATCTCCCTAAATACTACTGCAATGTTGCTCCAAGTTATCATTAGCTACCTGAGAGCATGTGGTCTTACCATTCTGTGTCTTCTCCCTCAGTATCCAGGCTATTGTCTAGGACAGCACTGCTTGAAGAGCTTTCACTATCTGCTTCAGTTTTCATGTGAAGATCGTTAGAATCTGTGCCAGGGACAGACGGAGCTATTTCAGTGCTAACTGGCACATCTTGTGTGTCTGAGAAACCAGGGGGCTGAGAGCCTGGATACAGAGATGGGATGAAGGGAGGAGGGGGTGGTGGCGGAACAGCAGGAGGGGGAGGAACAGTAGCTGTGCTTGGCTGCGTTGTGTCTCTAGCTTCAGAAATAACAGAGAGAGGCTCTTCTGGTTTAGAGTTTTCCACCTTTGCTTCTGAGTTGCCTACTGCTGTGTTTGAGGTGGAAGAAACGTCCCCATCAGCAGATGTCCTAACGGTCACCTGCTTTCCATGCTTCTTCTTGTCTCTGGGTGTCCCTGTGCCTGTTTTGCTTGACGTTGGCTCTTTAGAGGTTTTAGGGCGAGATGATGTGGATGAGGGAGATGACGACGATGCCTTGGAAGTGTGCACTTTTTTTACGTGCGAGGAACTAGCTGAAATGGGAGAGAACATACATGTCATCATTGCAGAAATGGTTTCCTAAACACTTTTTTTTGTGGTCAACATACGTTACGTTTCTGCAATGGGGTTCTACCCTATTACTGGAAAATCTGAAGCTAAACGAGCAGTATTGGCAACTCTAAAGTGTAATAAGCACATAATTATTTACAGAGCTAGGGGACACATTTGACAGTAGTTAAACAAGAGATCTGACTGCTGGTTCATGTCCTTTTTTCCTTCCCCTGCCCATCTTGTACCAGCTTTAAGCATTATATTAGCCCAGTTTGCACACCATAGTAAACTATAGTTGATTATTTACCATGATTACACCTTGCATGAATGCTTTGCTCTTCCCCATGAGTGCATGGAGGTTAAAAAACACCAGATCCTTGGCTTAGTGTTACATCCAAACCAGGGATATAAACGTAGGAAGGTGCCTTTCACTGATTCATATTGTTGGTCCATCTAGTTCAGTATTGTCTATACTGACAGGCAGAAGCACTCCAGGGGTTCAGGCAAGACTCTTCCCTGGGACCTTCTACATGCAAAGCAGATGCTCTACTATCGAGCTATGAACCTTTCCCAAAAGGTGAGTAATGATTAGTAAGCCAAAAGGAAACCTTGGCTAGTCATCAATCATGGCTTGTCATCAATCATGCTCCATGGCTTGGAGCAAACCAAACCACAATCCTTTGTTCAGAGGCAACACTGATTTTGTTCTCCCCAGCACAAGCAGCGAGGGGCAAAGTGGATGTAACTGTCTCATGCACAGCAAGTCCTCTTTTAAGGCTTGCCATGACACGCAAACACTTCCACGGGTACCAAAATTAGCTGTAGCCAAGGCTAATGAGAGTTCTTGCTTAATCGGAATATGAAACAATGGATTGATGCCTGCTAACATTGATAATGTTGGAATACTTAGATGTAGTTATTATTTTTATTTATTAAATTTATGTACTGCCCTTCATCTGAAGATCTCAGGGCAGTTCGCAGCATAGAAGGCCAGGGGTATGAATTTATGCAAGATTACACAGCTTGCTTAGCCATAAAAAAACGGATTGGGATCAATCATCAGCTCACTGGGAGATGGAAGAACAGTGGGAAAATTTCATCTCACACATCCTCTGGTAAGAATGGTTGGACTTCTTTTTGCTTGTTTTTAGAAGTCCCCTTTCTTTCTTTTTACAACTGATAACAAAACCAATAAACTCCCTAAGCACACCACCCAACACTTTCAGATCTGATGTAAAGTACTGCATTCCTGGGGTGCCACGAGCAGCTCAAATCCCTGCTACTGCTGAAACAAAATGCTAATCACATGCTGCCTGTTACTGTGCCTCTAAGATCAGGCGTGGGTAATTTGCCTCTGCATTTCACAGGCTTTTTCAATGTTATCTGCCATCCTTGGAAACTTAATGTTAGAAAAGGTTTCACAAACTCATTATTGCTAAGGTATTTTTGAAATATTGGGAGAGGGAGGAAATCAGAATTGAAGCAAGTAAAGAGAATCTAGTCTTCACTGTGTCTTAAGCTGCATGATTTCCAAGTCCTTTTATAAAGACTTTCAGATGCTAAACTGTGTTTGTCCCCCGCCCCCCATTTGAAGGAAGCAGTTTCGAGGGAGGGGGATACCACTGAATGTGTACACAGTGCATGGCAGTATGCATTTGGCATTGGATGTAGGCGCCTTTTTAGGGTGCTATACACACAATGCCATCCCCATGTTGTCCCTGTCCAACCATCTGTTGATCTAAAGTACATTCTGCAGGAATGGTAACAACCCGGTTTGTGATGAGAATGCACTTCTCGAGTACAGAGAGAGTTGCTTTTCAGGTCACTTCCTACTGGGAGCACACCTACTGATCTCTGTGCCTCTCGCCCTCACCACGTTTAACTTGTCCAGGAATCAAATAATCAAACTTGGAAGCAGTACAGCAACTTGGTTGTCACTTGCTACTTCCAATATATATCCTCTGTATATCAGGACATCAACAATGCACCAGTTTTTAGCCCCTCTTTGGAAAGAATGAGAAAATGATGCCATCGCATGAAGGGGTGTACAATTACCAGTTGCTGTTTACAAAAGCACACTTTGGAAAAACAACCGCTGGGCATTTTAAAGGCTACATGTGTACACAGCTATATCCACCAATGGCATTTTGGTAGTGGTCATTATAAAGGCGATATGCAGTCATTAACCCCACAACCCTTGGCTTCATCATATATTCTTGATTTAGCTGTCAATACTGACCAATCCTTTGCGGGGGTTTCTTTTGGTTTTTTGTTCTTTTGTTTTCAAATCGCTATGCAGGAGGGCTAGAAATGTACATTTATTCTAACCAACAATTTTCAAAATTTTAATAACAGAGCATGATAACCACGAAGTTTGCTCTACACGGGGCTGTGTGTTGCCCAGCCATGCATTACAACACCCAAGTCTTATTATCATCAGATGCAAAGCCAACGACTGTCATCTGCCTGTTTCCATGACGTTGTAGCGCTTGTTCAGCTGAATGCATGCTAATGTCTGGAAGCTGCTGCTCCCTGTACTTTTAATGCCAGTGGCTGTGGCAAGGAAGCAATAGCCAGTGGCATTTATTCGGCAGTAGAGTGCATTAGAAAACAAAGTCAGTGAAGAGTTAGCTACTGACAAGACACACACTGTATTAGTATTTCTGACATCGAAAGCAAGCAGTAAGCTCCACAAATCCAAAGTTGGGCACCCGTATGTTAATACCCAGAGCATGCATTACGGAACGACCAACCTGTGTGTTACTCACCAGCTTCTCGGTTTGCACCGTGGCTTGTTAGCTTGGCAGGCGGTGCAGAGGCCTGCTTGGCAGGAGCCTTGCCCTTTTTTTTAGCATGTGGCACTTCGTTAGTCTTATGGCTAGTGGCAGCAGCAGTAGCATTTTTTGGAGGTATGGTTGCTTTTTTAGCTTTAGGCTTAGATTTAGGAGGTGGCGGTGGGGGGGCACGGGGTGCCGATGTTTCGGAACCTTTAGGAAGAGGTTTCTCTATGGATGAGAAAGTGAACAGAAAGCAACTGACAAACAGACGACAACTGGCAGGATGCCAAACAAACAAAGAAACAAACACATCTCTCCAAACTGCTCCACCTCTTGAGAATCAGCAACATTTCTGATTTATTTATTTTTTTAAAGAAAGGAATTGCAGCCAAATTACATCAAGTCTGTCTAGTACATCTCCCAGGTCTATCGTGCGGCCCAGAGAGGCTCTCAAAATGCAGAAACAAGGGAACAGCTTTTAAAAAATAATTCAGTTTCCACTGAAGGAGGATAGTGTCATTACAATCATTTCAGAGATACTTCTCAAGCAACCAAAGCTCAATTTATTCCAATTCACCAGACCATATTTGGATCTCTACCCCATTCTCAAGAGATAAACAGCGTTATTATTAGAAATAATTAGTATGTAAAAACCAACAGTATGTGAGACAAGTAAATACAGTTGTGTGTGTCACATGTGACCAGGGCTGCCAAGAGACAGGTACAGGGGTTACTGATATAACAAGATCACAGCTAGCAGGAACCCCAGACTCTGAGTTTTCATTTTAAAAGCAAGGGTCTCTAGCTCTCCTAGAAAGTAAGTTATGAAGTAAATATGCAGGTACCCTTCTAAGTGACTTCTTTGAGATGAGGCAGCCTTGCTGCTCCTGCCTTTCAATGTTCAATGAGTGAAGTAACAGCTGTAATTGACACTGGGCAACAGGAATCTCTAGGATCCTAAGGAGCTGTTGTTCTCCCCTCCTCTTTAGTACACTTTTCCAGCTTCTGTTTCATCTACTACTCCTTGGAATCTCCAGTTTGCCTTTCCTTTCCCCCTAGCAACCAGGATGCCTCATTCTTGTGATGGGTCTGTCTGAGATCAGGTAGCTCCTAGCAGCTCTTTTCTGCAAATACCAACACACAGTAAGTATAGGTGGATGTTGAAGAATCCCCCTCCCCCCCAAAAAAGGCAAATGTAAAAACTCTGCAGAGGCTTAGGTAGTTTTCCCTGCATGCGCTAAAGTCCTGGCACTCATTAATAATTCACTGTATAGTTCACTTATTAATATTAATTAGATTTCTATACTGCCCTTCTTCTGAGGATCATAGAATCATAAAATTGTAGAGTTGGAAGGGAGCATGAGGATCATCTAGTCCAACCCCCTGTGATGCAGGAATCTTTTACTCAAAGTGGGCTCAAACCCACAACCCTGGGATTAAGACTCTCATGCTCTACCGACTCAGCTAGCCAACCTCAGGCTCACAGAGCAGTTTGCAATGCAAAACTACAAAAATATATACCATATTAACAAACAAAAACAACAGTCCCTCTAGTTTAAAGGTCATGGGTTGTTGATTAGTCTGAGAGATGAGGAATGTCTACTCAGAAGTAAGTTTATTTGTGTTTAATGGGGATTACTCCCAGGTAAGTGGGTATAGGATTGCAGTCTAGAATTTGGTTTAGGGGTAGCATTGAGGAAAGCAGGGTTCTTGTGCATTTAACAGCTGTGTGGAAGGCAGAAATTAAACAAGTTAAACCTCTTGTAGTATAGAAATACATTTATGGGGAAAGCTTCACTTGTTCACATTCTGTCTGTCAGATATTTTATTATATGTGTGGCCGCTGATTTATTTTTGGACTCTGCTTCACTTGTAAAATTTACATATTAGACAAAGCATATGAAAATTTGATGCAAATCTGTGTCCTTTCTGCATGTGGGTCAGAGGGCCCAGTCCACATACAGTGGACTGGGCCCAGAAAACCCTGCTGGCTCACCTAGTTAGTAGTATGTAAGCATGGTATGGAATCATGCCAATTTTGTTACTTTTTGACTCAAGTTCCCCTCTCACATTATCATTGGTAACCCCCTAAATTAACTAGCTCTTCTGCTACCAGTTCTAAGCCAAATTACAATTCTAAAATGGTATGTGCTCAGCTATTACAACATCTGTGTAGGACAGAAATCATTTATACTCAGTGTTGCTTGATACATGCTGGGTAATTTTAGTGTTTATTTCTTTTTCTTCTTTTGAGAACATGGTATTTCCTAAAGCATATGACAGATTTATAAAAGATTTAGGGCAAGATCACTTATACAGCATGCACTCAATAATCATTTACCCAAAATACAAGCAGATGAAAACCTGTCAGCATGTTCTTATTATTTTGGTACAAGAGAAGTTCTAAACATGCCTCTTGGAGGGTTGACACCCCATCATTATTACTAATAGCAATACTCAAAATGTAGAAAGCATCTGCAAGGCGACAAACTTCGGAAGCATTTAACATTTCTAGAATTGTTTATCAGGAACAGCTTTGCTTCCAAAAACACTCTTAACTCTTTCTGTGCTCAGTGTACCAGTCTACCATGGCCTAATCATCAAGGCATTCAGCATTTCATTATTACAGTTCTGCTCATTTTCTGTTCTTTTTAAAAGTCCCATTCCTGAACATGAAAAGAAATCAGATATACAATTCCACCACTAGTTATGTATATTTAAGTCCTACTGAGATGAATATGGGCCGAGATCAATATAATCGTGAGCACAGAAGAACCATGAGCAGCATTGCAGACCCGGGTTGAGTAGGAGTAGTTTTAATACTTTGTATTTATAGAGAAAAGGTTAAAACAAACAAACTCAAAAACCTCAAGCAGGCAAAGGGCACATAAACCTATCTGCTACAACACAGACCAAGTGAAAAAAAACCACCCATCTTCATGCATATATCATGTGAAAGGTCACTTGTCTTTTGATGTATTCTCAGGAGAATACACTCTATTTGTAGCTAGCAACATTTTTTTGTAGGAATTGCACTTGTTTCTTATTTCACATGGCTAGAAAGAATCCTGGATTAGGCTGCTAGTTTTGTTTGACACACAGCATTTGCCTTTTAAGATTTCAGGCACAGCCGTCATTCATTTCAGTGAGACTGCAAGGAGCTCCTTCATAACGATAAGATACAGATGAGCAACAAGACCTCATAAATGCACATATGTACACGATCACATACTTTATCAATTAATCTGGAATTGCCACCAAACTTTTCCCCTGTATTCATAAATCACCAATGTTTATTAGGATGCACCTATTAGCATGCATAGAAAAAAATTTAATCACCCCTTCTGTTACCCTGACTGCAGGTACAACAGGGAGGTGATATACTGTTGTCTGTAGTTATCTTGAATATGTACCGTCAAAGAGAAATCTGTCATGTTTCTTCATCCATGGAAATGTATGGTTAAAAATGTTTAAAACTGCCTTGCGGGGTCAGACCTAAACTTCAGTACAGTCCAGCACTGTTACCTATGGCAACAAGCAAATTTCTCTGGGAGGGCTACAAGCAGGGCATGGAAGCAATGACTTTCTCCCCTAGATTTTTTACCAGGATTTGGTATTCAGAAGTGTACCATCTTTGATCACAGCAGCTTTTATGGAAAATGGGTACTGACTATTCATGACTATTATATTTGAGAAAACAATGTTGTGATTACCAGAAATATTCTATTTCTGCTATGAAGTGCTTGAAGCTATGAAATACACCAGTCATGGTAAACAGTTAGATGCAGCAATGCATGTAAATAAGCAATCACTGCCTTCTTTCCCTCTGCAAGATTTAGGAATTATTTGAATGAGTATTACTTGTCCGATGGATCTCTCAAGTATCTGGAGTTATCCCTCAAAAATGCAGAACATTTGCCCATGGAAAGACATCATGGTTGGATCTCCTGATTTCTCTGTATTGAGTTAAATGACTGGTGGAAGGGAGGCTCTAATTTTGATCAGACTAACAGCATTCCAGAATCTTCAATATGCCTTGTTGTGAAAAATATACAGGTAACCCATTGCTCCAATCAAAATTGAAGCCTCCTGTCTTCTGTCAGACTACAATCAGAAATGTCAGGAGTTTTTGATGTTTCTTTGTCATTTGGCCCCAAGACTACATGAAGCGAAGTTCCATTAATTGTAATAAATCGTAAGCTAAATACAGCCTTCATGTCCAGCAGCAGTATTTCTCTGAATACTAGTTGATAGAGGCAAACATCACAAGATGGCTAGCATCTTCACTTTCTGCTTGCAGACTTCTGGTCCACCACTGAGGAAAATCAGAGTGCCAGTAAGGATGGACTTTTTTGCCTGATCCTGAACAGCTGTTCTTATGTTCTTACTGATTTTCTCACATAGAAAGCAAATAACAACCTGGTGGCATGCACAGTACTTGTAGTGCCAGCTATAGAACAGCAGGGCACCCACTTAAAAAAAAGATGTTTCCATTAGTGTATTGTGTATATTCCTTTGTAGAAAAAGTTCATAAATCAACTTTTGGTGGTGGTGGTGAGCTTCTGTTAAAATAGAACTAATATTTGTTCACCATCATCTTGTAGTCTGTAACTGTTCCATTCTACACACGCAGGAAGTTTAGTTAAAAAACAAGCAGAAAAAGTTATATAAATGCTTTTGTATGATGTACATCCTGCCCTTCTTTGAAGGAGCTCAGGGTGGTACACAAGCCCCCCACACCACACCTGCTCTAATGTTAGCCTCACAACTTTGGGATGGAGGTTAAGCTAAGATTCAGTGAATGGCCTTCTCGTGCAATTCTAATTGCCTCTCCTTAAGCCACAGACAAGGTTCCATTCATGTCTGGTAAAACAAATAAAAATCTGCTCCTCTTCCAGACCTACCACCTTTTCCTCCACTTCCAACGAGACCAACTTTATGTTCCATTTGAAATTTGTATTTCTGATTGAAAAGATGCCACTTAAAAATATTAACTGCCGTCTTGTTTCTGCAAAGCCTATCTCTACATTGGCTTCCTTGTTGCTATAGGCAGTCATTTTCAGTATAACTGTTTACATAAATTATCTACTCATGTTTTTAAAATGAGAAATCAATCCAGATGAGTTGCATTTTAAATTACCCTTTTTGCCATCTTTTCTCTCTTCTGTAGCTGGTGGTGCTTTTGCTGATGTGGAGCTATTCTCTTCTGCGGTCTTCGTGACATTTTCTCCCTGTATGGCTTCTTCAGTGATTACTATCGTGTGGCCGTTTGAGGTTTCATAATTTACTGTTATCTCTCCATCTGAAATAAATGATAACAAAGTTATTGCCTTATACTGACAATGTATGTAAGCGCTTCCCATTTACAGGGTTGCAGCATACAGCAATGAGCCGCACGCTTGATGTACATAAAATGTGATGAAGCTATATTGGAAAGGGAGGAAGGGAGGAAGGAATCTACATTAACAAGCACTTGAATGCCTAGAATACAGTGGTACCTCGGGTTAAGAACTTAATTCGTTCCGGAGGTCCGTTCTTAATCTGAAACTGTTCTTAACCTGAGGTACCACTTTCGCTAATGGGGCCTCCCGCTGCCGCTGCGTGATTTCTGTTCTCATCCTGAGGTAAATTTCTTAACCCGAGGTACTATTTCTGGGTTAGGAGAGTCTGTAACCTGAAGCGTCTGTAACCCGAGGTACCACTGTACTTACATTACCAGAACACTAATTGTCACCTAATATTTAGCTCTTCCTAGTCAACCTGAGCAAGCCACTGTGCACACAACACCTTTCCCCAAAATAAAAGGCCCCAACATGTTGTAACATTGCCTCATAGAGGAGTTGCTTCATCCTTTTGATCATTTTGGTTGCTCTTTCCTGCACCTCTTCCAGCTCTATATCTTTTGAGAGGTGTGGCGACCAGAACTATACACAGCATTTCAAGTGTGGTCGCCCCATAGATTTCTGTAGCAGAATTATTATGGTATCAACAGTTTTGCTGGGAGTACTTGACACCCTCTTTAGGGCATTCCAAGCAGTCTTTGAAGCATGTCTTCCTTCCCTTGACATCTAGACTCAACAGCACAACACTTAGATGCATGGCAGGCTCCCCCCCACCCCTGCCACCTGACACGAATACTTGGATTCAAGTATGCTCCCATGTTCTCTCCTGAATATACCTTGCTATTCAGTTCACTTTCCCAAACAATGAGACACAAATGACAGACTGAATTATGGTTTGTGCTTATAACAGAAGACCCAGGGGTTTTATCACAAGCAGGTTATGAGTCTGGCTTGAAAGGATGTGTCCCTGCCTGCTGTATCAGTCATGTCACAGAGTTTCAAAACAATGATAGTAGCAACAGAAAAATAATGCTAATCATTTAAATGGCATACAAAAGTTATTAGCAGCTGCCTATATTAACTGCCATCACCTTGTTCAGTTATTTCCTTCAGGACACCCCTTCTTATCAACTCCTCTCTGCTTTGCCTTGTTGATATCTTTCTTTCCAGCACTTCAAAAAAGAAACAGACAAAATGTAGACATTAATTCACTGAAAGTCAATTATAGCAATTATATATTTTTTTTAAAGCCAGAAAAAGATTAAAAAGAACAAAAGCAAGGACCTTAGCCTTTGTCTTCAGCAATAGCTTTTCAAAATATTGTTGTTAGACAGAAAAGGAGCACTGTACAAGTTGGCGACGCTGTTTGATCTTTTGTTAACAAGTGCAGCTACTTTTTTTTTTATTAGTAACAAGAATAGCAATGAACCTCCAGAACAGAAATATATTATGCAAATTTGTAATAGCGGAGTCACACTCACATACTCTGTTAAGGCATTGTTTTGTATGACAGGCAATCATTCTTCCCATCCAAGTTTTGGATGAAATACAATGTAGCCCTAAGGCGAGTGTTCTGTTAGTGCAAGGATTTCTTCTTGTGTAATGGAATGTTTCCCTCCTCTCCTGCCCCTCAGGTTTCCCCAGGCCTCTATAAAAGAGCAAGGGCTGGAGAGATAGAGAAAGTCCTGCTGCCCAAGTGGAAATCCCAGTGCTGACAGGAATTCTTTGTAAAACACCACCCTGGAAATGGGAAAATGTATCTCTTCTTATATAAAGCTATGCATGTCATAGTTCCTGGAAACATGAGTGCACAAAATGTTGCATAACTCACAGCCTGATATATCAGGAAATCCCCTTGTACAGAAACCACTGGCTAGTCATCTGAGAGCACATGCTATGATGAATACAAAGAGTGACCTTCAAAGTGGGGTCTCCAGCCTGTACATAATGGCTGCCTTTCAGCTTCCCTTACGGGGTTCAGGTTGGGGAAGAGCCATAGCTCAGTGGAAAAGCTTCTAGGCCCCAGGTGCAATCCCAGGCATCTCCAGGTAGGGCTCAGAGAGAACCATGTCTGAAATCCCGAGGGCCACTGGCTCTGTCAGAATACATAATACTGAGCAAGATGGACCAATAGTCCTACTTAGTGTCAGCTTCCTTCAGTCTGAAGACTTCCAGTTTCGGCCAGGTCTTACTGGCTTCTGTACAAGGGGACTTTCCATAACTTCTTGGATGCTGTGATGCATCAGGCTGTAAACTATGTAACTTTCTGTGCACGCATATTTTGCAGTTTCCAGGAAGTATACCATAAGCTGCTTTGTTTGCTTATAAAACTTATTTCTGCTGACAGAAAGATGCAGAAACACAAATAAATAATCCTTGAAGGTAAACTGGTACTTCTGAGCATCTGTGGCTCCAGTGGAGAGGGTGCAATACTTGGACAGGAAAAGTGCACATTATCCAAGAGATCCCTAAGATGCAGAATATCAGAGGTCCCTGATTGTCAACCAAGGCAGATCTGCAGCCATGCTTCACAGACCACATCTATCTAAGACCACAGTAATGGAATCCCAAAGAACCACAATTCATTCTTTGAGACTAGAATACCCAGTGGATTTAAGTGCAGCATATCATCCCTGGCTTGCCAATTGTTCATACTGACTTTCTGAAGCATTTGCTAATACCCTGTCCTTTAAAAATATACCGTATTTTTCGCTCTATAAGACGCACCAGACCACAAGATGCACCTAGTTTTGGGAGGAGGAAAACAAGAAAAAAAATATTCTGAATCCCAGAAGCCAGAACAGCAAGAGGGATCGCTGAGCAGTGAAAGCAGTGATCCCTCTTGCTGTTCTGGCTTCTGGGAAAGCTGCGCAGCCTGCATTCGCTCCATAAGATGCACACACATTTCCCCTTACTTTTTAGGAGGGAAAAAGTGAGTCTTATAGAGCAAAAAATACGGTAACTGTTAAGTCTATCTTCTGAATGTGACCCTTAAAATGTTTGCGTCTTCCACTCGTTTAATCCTTCCCCCCTTTCATCTCCCATTGCTGGGAGAGAATTAAGCATTTTACTTTCCTCAAGTGTTATCTATAAGCTAGGTCAGGTGGAGTCCCTTCCTCTTGCCATTTCTACCATCAGTCCTGCCATCCACACTTCCAGTCTCTGTGTATTCATCATCTGCCTCACAATGCAGCATTTTTGGGATTTAAGTATGGCTCAGGTTTATCTGCTCCCTTAAGCCACTATCTCCTCCTTACTCAGAACAGGACACCAGTGAACCAGACAGACATTAAGCGATTAAACAAGCAGAATATTTCCGTATCAGGCCCCGAGCAGGCACACTTGGCTTGTGGAGCTACAGCTATCCTATCTGTCCTGCTTATTGCTACAAGTCATCATTTTTTCATGTCTCTTGCTTGGTCTGTTTCTCTTCATCTTCCCTTTTCTTTAGCTTCTTTGTATGCACGGAATGTTCCTCCTGCTAAAATCCTATATGCCTCCTTTCTTATTTCAAAAAGCCTGTAAAAACCAATCCTTTTTGCTTTGCCTCCTTAATTTTTACCTTCTATATTTTGCTTCATTTTTTTAAAGGCAAAGTAGTAATTACCAACTTTAGCAGCATGCAGATTTAAGAACGTTCCACACTGCCTTAAGCAAATTACAACTCCTTCTGCACAGTCACATATTGTTCACCACCAACATGTTCTCTTCCTTTGCCTCTGCCTGGTTTCAGTGTGAGCCAATTGGATAGAGACCTGCTGTTTTTAGTTTTTGCAAAGTATTAAATATTCTTTAAATCAGGAATGGAGAACCTGTGACTGTCCAGATGTTCAAACAAAATCTGGAAGGCCAAAGCTTCCCCATCCCACCTTTAAACACAATGGCCTTGATCCAAAGAACTTTGTGCAAAGCAGCAGGTCACTTGCATGATGCCGCCTGCCTCTTTGGAAAAAAGAAACCCCCTCAAAAATAGATGTATAAATATATTCAGTTGCAGATGTTTTCAGTTATAAATGTATTAAGTCACAGGCAATACTTTAAAAGCACAAAATAGCCTTTTCTTTATTATTGCATTCACAAAATATGGCTTGTTTTGCAAAAACCAATAAAAATTATTACTTTAAAAAATCATGGAAAATATTGCAGTTCAACAGATACAATGTACTTCAGCTTTATAGGCGACATTCTCTTCTAATATACAGATGCACCCTAGGTTTTGTTTTCACATCCTCTTTTCCAATCACATACTTCTTTATAGAAATATACATATATAACAAAAGAAATAAATGCAGAATGTTTATGAGCATGTTTGATCTCAGGAAGTCAGTGAGAGACAAGTCAGTTTTCCGACTTTGTAGAGAAACTTATTCATGAATATACGTAGTCAGATAACATATTGCAGCACCTCCATATGCAACTCTATTTTCTTAAGCTGCTAGATAAAAGGTATTGAATTCCTTAATCATCAGTTTGGGGTGCTTTATTGTCCTATATTCATTGGGTTTCTAAGCAACCCTCCTCACCCCATTTTTCGCTTTTTCTGAACACCAGGGCTTGAACCACCTTCATGCTGCTCTGATAATGCTGCTCTAATCTGGCAGGGCTAATCATGCGCTTGGAAGGTAGTGTCTTAATAAGGACCACTGCCAGCCAGGGACATCCCATTGCTGACAACCCCCTCTATTTGGTGGGGGAGGGAAATGAGTTTGCCAGAAAATTCTGAGTTCAAAAATTTCCTGGAAATTAGGGTAATTCACATTGGGGATGGGGACGGGACTGAATTTGCATTGGAAAACTTTCTGATGCCCTAGATCTTTCTGTTATGTTTGCCAAAAGACTATGTAATTTGTGATTTTGGTAAGATACCCATGTTACTGCATTTGAATTATGGAAGAATATATTGTCCAGATATCTGTGCAAGTGTATCTGCTTTTAAATAGCTGTAGGCATTCATGTGCTGAAGTTTCTAAAGTGTTGCATGTTTTTATGACTAAGTTAATAAATAATATTTTTGTGCACATTTTTGTAACTTGTATATTGGTTACATATATTCGCCCAGAAAATGTTTGGAATATTTATAAATATATTTGTATGTATCGATAGGAACACTATAGTTTTGGAGTGTTTGTTACAAAGGTACTGTACATATGTCAGTCGTCTGCCTGTTACAGAAAGACCCTAAAGGAGATTTACTGAAATGTGTAGGGCAACTAATATGTATTTATCGCCATCTTAAGACATTATTCTGAGTCAGACCATTGGCTGCTCTGAGCTCTGAGTTTGTCTAGTTTGAAGAATGATAGCTCTCTAATGTTTCTCTCAGCAGAAATATTCCCAACTCTGCTGCTATTTTTATTTTAACACTTATAGAGTGCCTAACATTTTTCTAAACACTGTACAGATATTTTTAAAAAAGATAAGACAGCTTGTAGCCGGCAAGCAGGGACTAACAGACATGATGCAAAAAAGAAAATGGAATGGAGAGTGAAGAGGGAAAGCAAGCAAATTCAGGAAGTTGGAACAGTGTGATCTTTCTAGCAAATGGGGGGGAGGAGAGCAAGCTGTTTGCAGCTGCTTCTTCTCTAGCTAATGGATAGAGAAACTTTAGTCTTTGTATAGTTAGAAAGTTGATACTACAGAGGGTGATACTACAGAGGGTGCGGTCTCCCAGTGGCCCTTGTTCAGATGGCGATGGCAGAGATCAAAGTGTGCTTCCCTTCAGTTGTGTAATCCCAGTGGCTTGAACCTGGGAATGTCTGCTTCAAACCACATGCTCTTCCACTGACCTATGGCCACTTGCCACATGTTCCTGCAAAATACCCTCAGCACAAATTGTTCATATCAAGCTCTAAAATGTTACTTTGGGGCATCTAATCTTAAATTCTACTTCCTCAGTTTCTGATGACTTAAAACATTTATACACCTCACTCATTACGCTCATGCTCCAGTCTAATTGTGGCTTCTTTAAAGCAAAATGTTACAGGGGATAGATGTGGTAATTTAAACATCTGAATTATACCTCACAGACAAGACAGTCTTGTCTTGTCTCATACATTATAATTCACCCCCATTAGCACGCATAGCACTCAAGATTATTCCATAAACAAAAAGACAGGTACTTGCTCTCAAGAAATGTATGGCCTACCACAGAAGGAAGAGAAGGGAAGAGAAAATGTAGGAAGGAAATGTGAGCATGTAGGAAGGAAATGTGAGCATTTACACCTGAAACTTGATTACAGTAAAGATTATGGGATTAATCCACGTGTCTCAGGGAAAAGATGGGCTCTGGAAGATGAGAGAGAGTGCCCTATAGAAGATGGGAGTTCTAGGCACAGCTGGCAGAAAGAGAGCCACAAAGTCCATCTGCCTTAGGTGACCTTTGTAGCACAAAACACTTTCGATGGATTCTGTGAGGGATGAAGCAGAGTTCACTTTATCCTGAAGTGATGTGAAATGTCACTTTGAGCAGAAGATTCTAGGGGGAAGTAAGGAGCGTGGTTTTTCTGTCTGAAGTTTTTCCACGTAAGATTAATAAAGATGAATAAAGATGATGCTGCTGTAATTATACTTGGGTTTTTTATATTATTAATAGAATATTTTGCTTCAGCTAATTAATGTCTCTTGCTGGCAGTGTTATAGTCAAAACACCAGAGCTGAACTGTGCTCATTTCCTCCTTCCCACTGCATCACAGCAGCAGCCACCCATCAATTTAAATTCTCCATGAACAAGAGCAGAAGCATTAGATTTATTAATGGTATGGAACCAAATCTGAGCTATGCATAAGGAACAAAAAGTACAGCAAGGAAGTTGTCTAAATACCAGGCACTTTGCATTTATTAAGGCATAATTGTATTTTGATTATATAAAATAGATGGAATCTGAAGCAGAGTAAATGAGACAGCGTAGGCAAAGGTCAAATAATATTGGAGAGATTTAGTGCTTGATAATTTGCCAAAGTGTTCCATCTTATCTTTTTAAAAGTTATGCAGACACATTTCTGTAAGAAACAGTGATTTACTGTTTTGCTATTAAAACTTAAATTAAGAAACATAAAATCAAACGCTTCAACAACACACACTGAGACCATCTGCTTTATTTCAGAATCAAGGCAGCTACAGAATATCATTCTCTTGCATTTTAAATAAATGTCATTTTAGAAGTTCAGAGTTCTTCAAGATTTTTCATCTGAGTTAATTGTTTAAAAAGCACTGGGAGAAAATGGAATTACTTCTGGGAAAGTTATGGAACTGAATACAGAAGGCATGCCTTGCTATTTGTATGTGAAGTTACTATGACCAAAGTATTTGTACACAACTGGGATTGTATCTTTGTGAAATATACCTGTGTTCATAGAGTTGGGAAGCTAGAGTGCGGATGTGTCAAGGTGGTAGCTCAGCTCACATAAAAGGTGTTGTTAAAGATAGGAAGTCTTTTGAAAAACGGGATGGGGGGGGACTTGAATGCACAACTGTATAAATATAACACACTGCATGGGCCTTTCCTAAGGATAAGCATCTCTTTACAACGGACATATACACCATTTTTAAAAAGGCGGTCTCTTTCGTCAGAACATTTCAGTTCTCCTGCAATCCCACAGTTCAAGAAGGCCCCTTCTTTCTATCTGACAGCTCTGGCTGGCATTTATATGTCTGCTCAAGTAAACATTTGCCCTATGTGCTCAACAGAGAGCCAGTGTGGTATGGTGCTTAGAGGGCTGGACTGGGACCCGTGGGACCTGGGTTCAAATCCCCACTTGGTGATGTTGGGCCAGTACCTGCCTCTCGGACTAACCTACTTCACAAGCTGTTGTTGGGATTAATTGGGAGGGGAGAGAGGAAGAACCACCGTGAGCTCCTTGGAGTAAAATGTGGATATAAATAAATATATAAATGTATTATTAATTCTTCACTTTTACTTTAAGAGTCCCCAACCATGCTATTCAGCAGCTGTTAAATCCTCAGGCTCTCTTAATTATGCCGTTTTTATTTTTAAAAAAGCACTAATCCAACATTCTGAAATACATCCAGATATTTTTGCTTCTCAAAGGTAGACCTGCAGATTCTTCATTTAGCTTCGAACTTCTCCTCTGGGATTATAGCATTTGATGCAATCAGAGCCAGACGCGGCTTCTGCTCCACCCCCTCCACTTTCCCTATGGATATTCAAAGGAGCATCTTTTCACTCTAGCTGATAAACTACTGAAATCTCTTCCTCTTCCGAAAGCAGAAACTGATAAGATCCTTCCTAAAGTTTGTTTTTTAGGATGACGAAACTGTGTTTGCTCAGCTTTGCAAAGCAAGCGGCTTGGCAGCACAGATTCAAGATCTACATGGAAAACATGTTACCAAAGGGGGGGGAATCCATTCATCATTCCCACATCAGTACAAGTTATTTCCATAAGGAATCCTCCATAATTTTAACTGCTTGTATCATGTGCTGTTTACATAGATTTATTCAGCTGCTGGCATAGTATGATCACCTTCCAATATATTTTTGTAAGAAAACTGAGCCTTCCATCCAAGACTGCACCTTTCAATACATGCTGTTTTTCACAGGCCTAATACAAAACAATCAGATTCCCACCCCTGCCCAAGTACTCTGGCTGAGGGCCAGACCACTACACGTCCCCCCCCTTGTTATTTTAAAAAAGCAAAACAAACTAATAAGCAAAACAAGCTTTGGCAGTCCCCTATCTGAAGTGAAAGAACAATGGGAAAGAGTGCTTAAAAGTTTTCCTCTCAAAACTGCTCCCCGAGGGGGACCCCATTAGAGCAATGTTACATGCATGAGCATAACTGGTAAAATAATATGGCACAAGCACACTACAAATATGATCTCCCTTGTCCAAGTACAAAACATAACTAAATGCAAATGAATGCCAGTCGAGCCACAGAGGTAAGGTACTGCACAGTATCAGGATCCTACCCTTTGTCTCTAAGGGCGTTATGGTCAGGATGCTTTTATTTCAATTGGGCTTTCCGCTGATGATTAGGGACCCATATCCAACTACATATATATAAGCTCGCTTTTAAGAAATCCTACAAAAGTAAACAACAGGTTCCAGGAAAGTAAGTCTGCAAATGTTTTCTTGGGAATGTTCCTGCTTACATGTTTATGTTCCAAGACTTAAATACATCACACCAGGCACAGAAGCAACCTATTGTAAGCAGTGCTTTCTGAATCTAGTTCTGCTCTAATAGACCAGAAAAATGAAAAGTACTTTTTGAAGGTGACATTTGGAAGAACAGATTGGATGTCCGCATTCCATATAACTGTAAAAAGAGAGAATTAATGCCTGTGTACCTTACAGGGGTGTTTCCAGGTGCTGTGAGATGCTTTTAATGTGATTTACAGTTTGGCAAGAACTACAAAACATAAGTTGTTTTACTATTAAAATTTCCCATGTTGTAAAAAAAAAATACCACTGTGGTCAGGTACATTTTAATTATGTCTCCTTTGTTATATCACCACACTGCCTGATCTTCTCTCTCTTTTTTTTGTCCAAATCTATTAGACATCAGAACAATTCTTAACTGGTTCAGTGTGTCTGGGAAGAAATTTAGTCCATGAGCGAGAAAGATGGGTTGGTGGAAGAGGCCAAGAAGAGGAATGGAAGGTTAACAGGTTATTAAGACAATGGTGACAGACAGAAATTGGCAAGGGACTAGAACAAATTGTCTTAAAGAGACCATAGGCTGGGACTGACAGCAAGCAGAAAAAAGTTACATAATATGCACAGAACAATCAGTCACACAATCTTCTTTTGAACTGCTATGGAATAATGCATAGGCTGCAGAAGATATAGCTGATCATCTTTGGTGGGGCACAGGCCAATTAAAATACCAAAACCATAAAATTACATTGGCCAAGATAAAATGCCTGAAAATTAAAAGCTTGTGAGGGGAAAGAGAATGCCAAGAGGTCATTCTACAGACAAGGTGCCATATCTAAAAATGTCTGGTGCAGTCTCTCTTCTCTTTTTAATGTGCAGCATGCTTTTCAGATCTAGCTTTTGAAAGTAGTAAAGGTATGAAACCAGAAACAATTAGAGTCAAAAGACCTTGAAATGAGGAACAGGGTGGCAGAGTTGAAGCACTGCAGGGATAGAAAAGGGAGATTACTAGCTGTTCCATATGGAACTGTGGTCACAGAAATATTTGAGACATGTGACATATAGAGCTAAAGAAACAGTTCTTTCTTTTGGGGTCAATACATCTAACAGAGACCAGCATGCAAATCCCTACTTGGCCACGAAGCTCACTTGGTGACGTTGGACCAGTCACTGTCTCTTAGCTCTAACTTACATCATGGGGTTGCTGCGAGGACTCAAGTGGAAGGTGGGAAACCATGTATACCACCTTAGGCTCTTTGGAGGAAAGGCGGGATATAAATGCAGCAAATAAATAAATAAAATAAGCAATTAATCAACATGGGGGGTTTTTTGTGTCCAAATCTATTAGACATCAGAACAATTCTTAACTGGTTCAGTGTGTCTGAGAAGAAATTTAGTCCATGAGCGAGAAAGATGAGTAGGTGGAAGAGGCCAAGAAGAGGAATAGAAGGTTAACAGGTTATTAAGACAATGGTGACAGACAGAAATTGGCAAGGGACTAGAACAAATTGTCTTAAAGAGACCATAGGCTGGGACTGACAGCAAGCAGAAAAAAGTTACAGAATATGCACAGAACAAGTCACACAATCTTATTTTGAATTGGTATGGAATAATGCAACTAATCAACAATAACCTTTTCCAGTCACCACCAAGTAACCTCTGCCACTGCCCAAAGTGATACCTGCTGATGTTTCTTTAAATTTTTCACTGGTCTTCTTCTTCCGCCACTTCCATGGTTTGAAGATTTTGCCAATAGTAGAAAGTTTGCCTTTCCTCTTGAAAGAAGGACTTCGGGATGCTGGGTTTGGCCCATCTGAGTTTGCAATTGATGTCTTGTCTATCCCATCAACTATATATATAAAAACAAACAAACCAGCAAGCAGCATGTTAGGTTACCAAAACCTGTAGAACAACAGTCATTTTTTAAAACATGCAAAATAATGAGGAGAAAAATAGCAGCCACTTCACAGTATGTGGCAATATACATTTAACACATTCTAAATAACTTCAGACATACCTAACAATGAAAATGTGATTAAGTATCACAAAATATGTGTAAGTACATTCTAGTTCAGAACTGTAAAAGATAACGGCAAACGCTGAACCAGCACTCTGAATAAATCCAGAACCCAAGCAGCCTTCCAGATATGCTAACATCAAACTTTCAGCATTATGTTTTAAACAGCAAGGTCTAACATAATTAATATTCAAATCAAAGCTGCTATTCTTAGTACTCCAGGTACCACATGCTGCTCCAAAGTGCCACAAGTGCCACATTGTCTACTGCCCCACTTTTATGGTGAGCCCATTAAAAAGCAACAAACAAATATGACATGTGAGGCACACAAAGAAATGTCAAACATGGAGGATGGACAATATAACCACAAAATGTAGATACAAGTTCAAAGTAACATGGCTGTCATTAAAAGCACTTGTAGATCCTACGAAAAATATCTGTTTCCAAGTTTAGCATAATTTAACATTTCAGTTGTTCCCTAAAAGCAATCCAGGAAAGTTAAAACACATCATTCTTAAGCACTTAAGAGTGCTTGATTTTCTCTGAGTTGTACCTACTGAATCTACAATTAACTTTTATTACATGGACTACAAGTGACTAAGGAATGCTATCATTTTTATTGTCTGTGATCAGTACACTTAGGTAATGTAAAGAGCACAAGCCCCTTTGCTCTTTAGACCTAATCGTTTTAAAAAAACTCTCTCCTTCCTTCTCTAGAACCCTCATGACTCAGACATCCTCTTTACTGCTGTACTGTTATAGAGGATATTTTTAGGCAATCCATCCTGTGCATATTGTCATTATTTTTCACCAGACAATGCTATTCAGCTTCTCACAAAAGCAGCCTAATAGCTATGTATGCAGATAACAGTTTTGATGAAGGGATGACAAGCATAGGTCAATGATAAGCTGTAGAGGTCAGGAATATCTATAGTTATTATTTTATCATTTGTTTATATAGCACTTCTAAAATGCACCACACTTGACAAACAGGGTAGAGCACAGAATGTCCAGCTGAGAACAGAGAAGGGAAAAAAGCAGGGGCAGGACACAGCAGCAGAGGCCAGAAGGAGCAGCAGCTAAGAGACAGTCACAGGAGCAATGCAGGAAGGACTACACATTGTTTAGCAACTTCCTACATAGGTACATTGGAACTGAGTCTGTTATCAGCCACATTTGCTCTCCACCTATCTACACACATCTCTCCAACTAGTATCAGAAGGACACAAGTTTGTTAAACCTTCAAATCATTTTGTTTTATTATGCTGTTATTCCACAGGCAGTCTCACCAGGCCCTAACAAAATATTAATTCATGGTGCCCAAGGCCTGGTTCATATATTCATTTCACTTGATTTCTCTACACTTACCTTAACATATACCTATGTCTCAATGCAGTCTTCCCATCCCATATCCCTGTCCTCCCATTCCTTGTCACGGCCTGGTCCATGGAATGCCCATGCACCTCAGGAAAAGCAGCAAAACACAGGGTTCTGTTATGCCTATATGGATCATTCCACATGCAAGCAACTGCACTGGCAGTGGGCTGGATCAAACTCTGTGATAAAATATGAAAGTTCTCTCTGTGGCGGCTCGTTCACAAATGCAATTCATCACTTCATTTATAGTAATGAAGTCAGGAATGTGCATTTTGCATCAACCCTAATGCAGCTTAATCAACATATCCACAGAACTTCATACTGTTCCAGTTCAGCAACAAGAACAACTCATAGTCTTAGTTTGCATACACAATGGTACCTCGGGTTACAAACGCTTCGGGTTACAAACGCTTCACTAACTCAGAAGTAGTACCTTGGGTTGAGAACTTTACCTCAGGATGAGAACAGAAATTGCGCGGCGGCAGTGGGAGGCCCCATTAGCTAAAGTGGTACCTCAGGTTAAGAACAGTTTCAGGTTAAGAACTGACCTCCAGAACGAATTAAGTTCTTAACCAGAGGTACCACTGTAGCGCTAAACTATGGTTTAGTCACTAAGCCAGGGATGCAAGGATAAGCTGAAGTGAGCCTCAGGCTCATGTGCCTCCCAGCCTAACTCCACCTCTGGTGTGGCTACAAGGAGACTGGAAGCTTCTGCTTCCATTTTTGATTAATGCTCAATGGAGGTGATTTAGCTTTGGAAACAAAACAGCTTCATAAACTTAGGTTTTGAAGTTGACTCAGTTTCCATTAACTATTGCTGAGACATCCAGGTTGAGACCATAGCTGTCAAGTGTCCCTTATTTGAAGGGACAGTCCCTTATTCTAGCGCCATGTCCCGCTGCTGTCCCTTATTGATGGATGTCCCTTAAATGTCCCTTAAATGATGTCACTTAAATTTCAAAGGAAGCAGCTCCTCTCCCTCCCTCCCTGCCGGCCAGGGAGGAGGGAGGGTCCAACTGTGTTGCTTGGCTGTGTTGCTCACCCAATAAGAAGTCTAAGAACGACTGGGGGGTGGAGCTTGCATGCCTTGTGTGTGGCTAGTTAATGCAAGCTGAGGGGTTTTTGAATGCTGGGCACCATTTTGTTGCACGTGCTGCTGCAAACTTTGCAGTGCAAAGCCAGGCCGGGGAGCCATCTTAAGTTGAGGCTGCATAGGCCTTGTGGTGCATGTGATTCAGATTCTATTCAGTTGAACCTCTGGTTACAAAGTTGGTTGGACAGTGTTCTCGAAGCTACCCAGCAGAAGTTTGACCAGACTGCAGGAGGACAGGAAGACTGGAGTGCCTGGAACAGGTGAGGCTGCAGGTCCCTTATTTTCAAGGCTGCTGGTCCCTTATTTTCAAATCTGTAAGTTGACAGCTATGGTTGAGACATTATGACAAACTGCAATATTGTAAACCACCCTGTGATCCTTGGATGGAGGGCCGTAAATGACTCAAAATAGTCTAACATAGAAGTGAAAGCTTCTAAACTCTTCCTTGGAGTTATGGAAGTGATAGTGGGGAGAGCAAAAGCTCAAGAGTCACTTACCATTATGTGCGAACACAGCCACATAGTTTCTCACAGAGCATCCCAGTTTAAATTATATTTTTGTTCCTATCTCCAGAACAAACCTCTACAGAGTTTTATTAGAGAAAGCATTGCTATATACAAGTTGCAGAGAACCCCCTTGCCCATTTTGTTTTCCGGGACTGAAGAGGAAAAAGAAATATAGCTAACTTGTAATGGGTAGAGTTATACAAAAGATAAGGCTGTACTGTACTGCAAGAGCAGATCAGCACTACTGGCTTCCATGCATTTTTCTTCACCTCGCTATACAACTGTTAACTTCAGGAAGTTCTTTGAGCTAAGTGTTCTGACAGCATTTTAATTAAAGGAAAGGGAAAAGGTTGAGTATTAATGTGGGTGGTTGAATAGTAGTTTCCAGATGGGGCTGCCAATGCTGCAAAATGTTAATTAGGCCTCCTGCTAGAGAAGAGATTAAAAATGTAGGTAGCAGTGCTTGCAAATGAACCCTGATTTCTGCCGTAATATTGAGAAGGCGGGTAGAGAAGATCCTCTCATCTTTCTTGGGTTTATGATATGAAGATGGGGTCTCAACACACACACACACATACACACACACACACACACACACACACACACACACACATTCTGTTAAATATTATGATTTTTAACCCTGAAATAGTTCACTGAAAAAACCAACACATTTTACCATAGCAGTGTTTGCTCTTTCAGAGTTCAGAAATGATTTCACAGGATTAATTTTTATGCTTTATATCTTCAGTACACATGGATTATTTTTTTTCTTCATATATATATATATATATATATATATATATATATATATATATATATATTCCCTCCTTTGCCGATTTTCTCTCCTACTTGCTCACCCCTCCCCCACAATATTCCTTGTGAAACCTGGAAACGTTGCTTAACTGCCAAGATAAAGCTTTCTGTATGCAACATGCCCTCCTGACTGTTTCAGGAGACACATTCACATGAATAATGTAACATGTGATCCATGGACACAACTATGGCTTGATGCCCAGAGAGGTGGCCATGTCTGTTCTAACAATAATAACAAGTCTTGTGCCACCTTGTACAACCCTTAAAGATTAAGGGTTTTGTCAATAGAACTTAAATCCCACTTAAGACCAACCCTAATAAATGTATTCTGGATTAAGCTGGGGTTGCAATATTTCAAGCAGTGAAAATCCGGACAGAAAAGTTGTTGAGCTTTTCTTAGTTGAACTCTTCTTCTTTTTTCTTTTTTTTTGCAAAATGAAGTATTCTGGATATGTCCAGGAAATCCCAGATGTACGGCAACCCTAATTAAGCTTTTGTAGGCTGGATGTAACTGGAATAGTCAGAATTGCAGTCAAAATGGAAACTGAAGCCAAAATATCTGCAAAGTCACACATAACATTCTTTACGCATTTGTATCCCCAGGGTTGTATCCCCAGGTGAAAAGTCCTGACCACATGAACTAGCCTTCTGCCTAATTCCTTTAAGAGTTTCCCCCCTCCCATCACATCATTTTTAACCTGCCAACCTTTTAACCTGCTTAGGTCTAAAAAGAACCCAAAATAGTGCCGAATCAGTAGGTATTTGTAATAAACCACAACAGCATGCTTTTTTTATATATACATCTTTCAGCAGTACAACACTAATAATGAAGACTAGATATAAAGAAATGAAACCAAAAACGATACAGAAAAATGCTCTTGTTTGAAAAGCAGAATGTGAAAACCAGCATTTTCGTTCTTTTACCAATAAAAGGAGAAACTAAGAGAGCAAAGCACAGTGTTTATGTATCTTGATTTGGCAGGACATAGATGACATCTTCTCCTCCCGTCAGTTCAACTCATAGTGGTTCTGTGTTTAGCCCAGATCACTTGGTCTCTTCCTGAACTGGCTGACATCCCAGGAAAGTTAAAGCCAGCAAGAGTTGCGCAGAAGGAAAGACTTTGGATGCTCCCCCTAAATTGAACTAAGGGCAGACTCTGACCAGTAACTCATAGGAAGCACTGTAATGGTTCAGGAGAGTTTAAAGTGTTTTTTGGACTTTCAAGAGAGGACCTAGAGGAACACCACACGTTTTCTTTGCATTACAGGAATGCAGTGTCTACCAGAAGCTGAGGCTTTTATCATTTGTTTCCAGCAGCTTAACATCAATTTGTCCCTCTCCTTATAAATTCTTAATTCTATAGTTCCGAGAATGTACAGGAAGCTAGAAATGGCTCTGTTCCAGTCACTAGCAACAGGTGAATTAGTCTGCTCACATCAATCCTGCGTGTGTCTTATATTTGCATCCCTGCAATTTGCAGCCAGTGGTTTAAGTCCTACCATCTGGTGCACCAGAAACAAGTCAGCTTCATCTTACGCATGACAGCGCTTTAGGTATTTGAAGACCACTGTAATGTCTCTCCTTAATCTTCCTTGGAGGTTTTTAAACAGAGGGGGGGGGGCATCTGCCAGGGATTCTTTAGCTGTGATTCCTGCACTGCAGGGGGCTGGACTAGATGACCCTTGGGATTCTTTCCAACTTTACAATTCTGTAGTTCTATGATTCTCTTCTCCAGGATCAACATATTAAACTCTTTCAACTAAGACATAGCTTCCAGACCCCCTATTATTCTGAGTGTTCCCACAGGGACTTATTCCAGTTTGTCCAGGTACTTCTTAAAATTTAGTACCCAGAACTGAGTACTAGCACTCTAAAGGTGCCCCAACCAGCCAAAGTGTTCATATCCAAGGAGGGAAAGCGCCAACAGTTCAAATCACAAGTCCAGTTATTAAAATAATTGTTTCATTCCTTAAAACCACTGTTCACAGTACGAAATTAATTGCCCAACAGAGTTCCCGCCCCCAAATCAGCTTAACACATTATTCAGATTAAATGGGATAATCAATCTTGTTGCTAGCCTGCTGGTGGTTACTCTTTAATAGCAATCACAGCTAAAGTAATTCTAAATCTGATTCACATTTATTGGGTAAAATGATGTTAAAGAGTTGTGGACAGCAGATTTTTGTTAAAACAAATCAACTGATGATGGACAAAAGATCCAAAATATGGTTAGGTATCTTCAAAAATGTATCCAATGTTAAAAATCTGGTACCTTGGTTGGATATTGATGTATTTGCCATGTGACATTCCAAATCAGGAGCACAGCATCTAGAGGTGGAATATTAGATGTAATGTGGTGCTTTCAGCCATGAAGGCTTGTTCTGCTTTTTTCATTAAAAAAAGTCTAGGACAGGGCTGCAAATGGTCTCTAAAAGAACGAAGCTTAAAAGTTCTCATGAGAACCCACTCAGCCACAATTTCCATGTAAACTCTTATGCCTACGGAAGCAAGATTGAAGCCCAAAAATGTATTACACCACTTCTGGTGGTTCCCCGCATCCCCAAGCGTCAGTTGACCTTCACTAGGGACCAAGCCTTTAGTACAGCAGGCGCTGCCTTGTGGCACTCCCTACCAGAAGCGCTTCAGCAGGAACCATCCCTTCCTTCTTTCAGATGCTTTCTGAGAACTATATTGTTTGAGGCCTTTGCAATATAAAATGTTCTCTTTTTAACCAATCAGTGGATTGGATGCTTTTTTGCCGATTTTATTCTATGTTGTAAATGCACCTTGATATATTTTTATGAACGTGTGGATTATAATAAACAAAATATTATAAACATCAATTTAATGGTTGACAATTGACTATGGGGTTTTCATAATTCATAATTTCAGAGCAGTCATATCACTGAACCAGGTGCAACATAATTCCAAACCTACTGTACTTTAATCAAATAAAGTAAAGGTAAAGGACCCCTGACAGTTAAGTCCAGTCCAGTTGCGGCGCTCATCTCGCTTTACAGGCCAAGGGAGCTGGTGTTTGTCCGCAGACAGTTTTTCCTGGTCATGTGGCCAGCATGATTAAGCCGCTTCTGGCGCAATGGAACACCAAAACCAGAGCAGCGCACGGAAACGCTGTTTACCTTCCCGCCGGAGCAGTACCTATTTATCTACTTGCACTGTTTGGCGTGCTTTCAAACTGCTAGGTTGGCAGGAGCTAGGACCGAGCAACAGGAGCTTACTCTGTTGTGGGGATTTGAACTGCCGACCTTCTGATCAGCAAGCCTAAGAGGCTCTGTGGTTTAGACCACAGCGCCACCCGCATCCCTAACTTTAATCCGTAATATGTAGTCTAATCCTGTTTTGTCATAAAAGATGGCTGCTGCAGTGGCTGTGGCTGCACTAGCACCAACTGGTCAATTTCCTACTCTCTGCCAACTCATCAAGAACAATGGGTAGTGTTATATGGTCAGTTTGGACTAGCAAAAGATGCTTCTGCTCAAGGAAGGCATGGCCACCCAATTTCCCCCCTCCACCTAGCACACACACAGCACTCCCCCAAAAAACTGCTCCCTAGGCTTGGGGTCGTCACCCAGAACTGTGGAGAGCAAGAAGGAGCACTTTCTGCTAGTACAAAATCACCAATGGATACAACTCAAAGGTTGACATAAAAGTATCAAAGGAACTATGACAGCAACCTGTCCAAATAATTCAGTTTGCCAGCTTTAAATTTTAGATCACATTTGGTCATGTGCAAAGGTATATAGTTGCTGTTTTTAATGAATCTTTTTTCTCTTTGAAGAAGAACAGGGATCCTGTCAAGGCCAATGATGGTTCCTTTCCTACAGAACAGAGGAAGCTGAGCCAGTCAGAGACCCATTTTATCAGGCATCACATTTCACTCATGGCAAACAGCTGTTTCATTTAATGTTTCAAGTTCTCTACTAAGGGAAGGGGGATGGCGAGGGGCGGGGAAGACAGAAACACACTCAGAGCAGTCTCTCCCGTCCAACTTCTTTACCAAATTAATGCAGAGGTATCGCATTGAAAAGCCATCCCTGGAAATTAAAGGGCTTAACAACGAAGGACTATAGCTATACGCAATCATCTCTGCATTTAACATCATAAACCGTAATCGCAAATATCAAGATTATAAAAAAGGTTTAATTTACAGAGATTTTAAAAACATAATTTTATGTGATTTAGCTTTTTAATTTTTTATGGATTGTAGGCAAGCAAAAACAACGCAAGCTCCCTTCTCTCCCTCCCCTCCCCCTATGCCAGCTGTCGGCACATCTCAGTCCCATTCTTTCTCACTACAGAAACAGCCAAAGTGGTATGATGGCTCTCTGATGGCCTCCTATGTACCATCATTTCTGTTACAACACTGAAAATATATCATTGGCATTGTTACTCCTGTCTGGAATGCACTGCTGACATCACCTCTTAGCCATAACTATAAAAACAGCGCAGTTCATTGAAGAAATGTTTATATGGCAAACAATGGCCACACACCACTTGTGACAGAGGGAAACACACAAACACACACAGAGAGAGTGAGCTCTTCTGTCCACAGTTGTTTTCAGGCAGGCATATAACCATCCCACTTCTTCTCCGCTGCGTATAACAGCAAGGCAATGCATTTTTGTCATGGTATTCAGTGTGTACTGTCACCTCTTTTTCTGTTGCCCATGGCAGCCATTTTGTGCTGGCACCTACAGCATTTTTATCCATATATGAGTACCAGCACACCATTGTTTTACCTCAAAAAAGCACTGCTGCAAGGAATGTGCCCACAGTCGCTATCTATGCTTTTTACTGGAATACCAGTAACAGGACTCTACTTACTGTGTAGTAGAGTCATAACACACTTAATTTATTCCTCTGGATGTTTATGCATGACTAAATTAAGAAAAAGCACTGTATTCCCTCATTACTAGTAGCATTTGTTTTTATATTTGGTGCCCGGAGCAGGAAGAGTATTAACAGCGTGAAGCTGGAAAAACTCCATAGGAAAAACCACCACATTCACCAGGAGGATTCTGAAACAGATTATTGATATGGCCTCTTCTTGTCTTTGACTCTACTAAATATAGGCTTCTAGTTCATATTCCTAGTTCTTCATTCTTGGTATATTCAACAGCATCAAGAATTTTCATTCTAATTAATGGTTAGATAGTGGCATATAATTCTAATGATGGTTAAATTTCAGCACATTTAAAATACTCAGAGTTCAAGGCACCGAAACTTTTGGGTATACCTTACCCAAGGATAAAGAATGGTATCTAACCAATGCATACTCTACTCCGAGTATGGGTTGTTTGTTTTTAAGGTAGAATCTTTAATGCACATGTAAACAGCCAATACTCTCAACATAAGACAAGGGCTTCTGCTGTCACACATCTCTTTCTCCATATCTAGGTCGTATACTAATGTTTCCTGATTTCAGGGCAAGTCTTTAAAAATGTATTTTATTCCCACTGCTACCCCAAGAAAGACACTAAAGTTTTATGCTTTAATATTTACAGCTGGTATTGTAGGCATGGTGGCTTCAATACAAAATGGCAAACCCTTTAATGGTTTGTGTAAAGTTAAAAACCCTTTAATGGTATGTGTAAAGTTATTCATTTAAAGCCTTGATTAACTGATCACTGGAAAACAGTTTTATCAGGGAGGGCTCAGTTAACAGCATGCTTCTTCATTAATTTATTTTTGCCTGTTTTAGCCTCATAATCAGCGGGGGGGGGAGGGTTCTAAAAAAAACTTTAGAGGTACTCTCATTTTCCTACTCATATTGAAATACTGCCCCTCAATGAGGCCAAACTTAGATTCACAAAATGTTTAGGGTATATGTACCCCTGCATCCCTCCATAAAAAAGCACTGCTCACAATAAATGTGAAAACCAGTTTCATATGAATGCTAGGAATGGGGATGGAAAGCCAAATTTTATTTTGGTAAGAATAAACTTCTTATCTTGTGGAAAATCCATTTAGACCTGTTTTATGTGGAAAAGCAAAAGAACTACAGGTGAACCTAATTTACTGTCAAGTAATCCAAAAGTACAGTGCAGATCTTACATTTTCATACCTCAAAGAGAAAGTGTGTGCGCATTACCAGTTGCTAAAACAGAAGTCAAGCTGGGGGATGACAAGAAGGAACAATCTGGGCTAGATCACTACACTGTGATTCATGCTTGCAGTTTGAATGTGTGAACTCATCTTATCAACGCTTGAATTCTTCCTAATATAAATGTTCCATCTGGCATTTGTTTTCTCTAGGCACCAAACTAGGCATAGCCTATGCATATGTTAGTCATGTGTAGGGCAACATGCTGAATCAGGAGCAAGGCTAGGCTTTTTTACCCTGTCTCCAACATCTCATCTGATTTCTCCGACAATGCAGCTGGCTGTAAAGAAACTTAAGCGTGTGAGCGAGCTCTTGATCACATGTGGGTCCTCTGCGCAACTGAGGCACTAGGACAGACAACCATGTGCAATGTGTGGTCAACAAGAGAAAAGCAGATGGGATGTCGACAGTGAGGCTAAAAACACGACCCCACTCCTGATTCGACATGGCTTTGCCCTACATGCAAGTAAGTCATGCATGGGGCTATGACAGTGGCAGATCATAAACAGATGCCCTCATACTTAAATGATCACAAGAGAAATCTCATACTGAGGAATATTTAAAGCATTAAGGAATTACTGCAGTGTATTATATGTAGGGCTGTGGAATGCTCTCCCCTGGGTGGTCTGGCTGGTGCCTTCATTATACACCTTTAGCCGCCAGGTGAAAACAGACCTCTTTAAACAGGCCTTGGGCTGATTAACTTCCTATGCCCTATTAAATGTGTTTTTGGAAGGGGAGAGGGGAGGGAGTTTTTGTTTTTATTATGTATTTTGTGTTTTTATCTTATATTTTTATGCTGTAAACCATCCTAAGATCTACGGATGAAGGGCAGTATACAATTGTAATTAATTGATTAATTGATTAATTTGGGGAAAGTACACTGGCAGAAGAAGGCGACCACAATAAACCAAAACCCAGATGCTAGGTCATATAATATATTTAAATTTATTTTATTTTATTTTGACCAGAACAACGGAGGCCAGGTACGCATCAGTTAGGTTGAGGAAATGTTTGGTTTGCTGATGTGAACCAAACTGGTCCGTACTGACTTGGAACCTTGCACATTCCCCTCACCAACCAATAGACATTTGATCCAAGAAAGAAAGAAAGTTAAGCAGACAACAGAGATGTGATTTTAATTTCATTGCAAATACCTTCTCTGTGTCTTGCCAGTAACGAAGAAGCTGGTATAAAAGGAAAGAACAAGCTGTTGAATCTATGAGGTTTTTGTTTTTGTTTTTTTAACCTTTTCTCCCGCAATGTTTCAGCATATTCTCATTTTTAAGTGGCTTATAGCACATAATTAAAATAAAATAAATTAACTCCCAAGTTATAGCAATGTATTCTGCTTCACAGAAACATGTGTTTAAAAAATCAGGAGCCAGAAGTAGTTATTTTTATACTATACAGTTTTAAATTGCTTCCGAACAAGTAAGTTTATCTTTCTCATGCATTTAAAAAGGAGTGGTTGGTGACATTTTTAAACCCATCAAGGCCTAACAAAAGGTTAGTCACCAGTATTTTGCAAAACATTCTTTATCTGATTCTATTCCTGTTTCTGCACACTGTCAACTATTTCTTTCCTTTTAAGTTTACAGGGTTTTTTTTGGGGGGGGGTAGTGCTTTAAGTAAGTAGCCTGGAAACTCTGGCAATTTATACCCTAAGACTACAACAGCAGCCTACCAAATAAATATCCCCTTTGCCAAATCCATAACCCTACATTACACATACAAATGTATTCTGCTAGCAGCACTTTGCAGAGTGGAGCAGCAAGGGAATATTGCACTCATTTTCTATGACATCACAGTCAAAACAGAATCCACAGGCAGATTACCATTCATTAACACTCCTCTGAATTTATGTACCAGAAATGTGTCCAATTTGAGAAGGGATGTGTGTATGCATGCCACTGTTCCATACTAACACTTCAGTAGTCCTGCCTTCAAACATATAAATATGGGGTGCAACAGTGTGAGCTTAATTTGGCGAAATATTGAAAGGAAAAACACCAGAACAAAGGAAGGGAGAGAGGTGGGGTCATGGCCTAGGGAGAGTCCTGCGGGCCAGACAGAGGAGCCTAGAGGCCTGTGCCTGACCCCTAGGCCTGATGTTCTCCACCCCGGAATATAGACTTCTATTTATATCTCGCTACCTGAGCTGTGGGGACACAGGTGGCGCTGTGGGTTAAACCACAGAGCCTAGGACTTGCCGATCAGAAGGTCGGCGGTTCGAATCCCTGCGACGGGGTGAGCTCCTGTTGCTCGGTCCCTGCTCCTGCCAACCTAGCAGTTTGAAAGCACGTCAAAGTGCAAGTAGATAAATAGGTACCGCTCCGGCAGGAAGGTAAATGGCGTTTCCGTGTGCTGCTCTGGTTCGCCAGAAGCGGCTTAGTCATGCTGGCCACATGACCTGGAAGCTGTACGCTGGCTCCCTCGGCCAATAAAGCGAGATGAGCGCCGCAATCCCAGAGTCGGCCACGACTGGACCTAATGGTCAGGGGTCCCTTTACTTTTACCTTTACCCTGCCTGAGTGAAGTCCTCTGAAATCCCATAGATTTCAAAGGCAGAATAAAATGCATCAATGAAAAGTTTCAAAAATGCTGGCAGGGCAATCCTATGCACCAGTGACATATGAGGGAGGAAAGCTGTTGTTTCTGTGCCAGTGGGGCATCACTGTATCCTACACTCATTGAGCCGAGGAGGAGGCTGAAAAGTAGGAACAAAGACAATCAGAAAATGGCATTAAAATAGCAGACACCACCCACCAGCATCACCAAAGCCTCCCAATCGTAGTCTGTGCCAAACATGATGCCCACCCACACACACAAAGGGAGACAATGAACTCAAGATGGCAACTTATCCCAGGTTCGCTGTACACACAGTACTTAAAATGATGACACAACACTCCCAGTGTCACAGCAAACAATGACTGCCTTACTTCCAAGTTCTACAAACACAGGTTTGAATCTCCTTGCACTGCTTACAACCACCATTTTGGAGCACAGAACATAGGCAATAAATGAGAGTGTACACAAACACACAGAGCGCACACACAAGGCATTAAGACCCAATTTAAGGGTGGAGAGAACCCACAGGAAGGGGCCACAACACACAATAAACACACTGCCAGGAGCAGGCTCCAGAGACTTAATGCATATAGCAGGGAGGCAGCAAGCAAAGACATTAGATTGAGCCTCATCAGGAGAAAGTCGGGAACATCCCTTATTCGCCTTTTTGCATGCATAGCCAAAAAACAATCATGTCAGGGGCAAACATCAGGGAGTAAATGTGCTCCTGACCTGTGCTGTCCCTGTCCTGCCCATACTGATATCTTAGATTGCATCAATAATCAGGCTCAAAGTAGCTTCAGTCTCTTTCCCAACAGTACTCTTGTGATAGTATACCTATTGGCTTTATGACTGTGACAAATGGAAAGTTGTTTACTGTACTTTTGAATTCTTATGAGCTTTATTTATAATCATGGGAAAGACAGTATTGTAGAAGTGCGATTTTCCTTAAAGAACAGGTCAGATAACATCAGAAATCACAAGCTGGCGCAGAAAGGAGCTCACCAAAAATCCCAAATACAGAGAAACAGGAGTTTTTGTGTGTGTGCTACAGAGATCTTTTTCTTGTAATAGTTTTTTGACTGTCTAATGTGCTGCTTCAGCCAAACACTTATGAGGTGTGTGCTCATACTCTTGTGTCAAAGTGCCAGTACAAGGCAACTGAACTCTGGCAACAATTATTCTCACTTGGTATGTTCTATACTAGCAGTGGCTGACCGGGGGTGGTTCTCCAGATGTCGCTGACTACAACTCCCAGGGGCCTTCATCAGCATGGCAAATGGTAGTTTGTAATCCACAAAAATCAGGAGAGCTACAGTTTCCCCACCCCTATTCCATACACAGAAAAAGACCTGAAACTCATTGGTAAATCCAATAGAGTACAAAAAGCAGATGTTGCAATACCATAGTCAGTTCTTCCTTGCTCTCCATCAACCCCAATTTAGTAAGGACATCAATGATTTTCATGATGGGTGCTCATGTTATCTTACAATGCTAGGAAATCTTGATCCACTGCATAGTGATGCCAAAGATCAAAACGGATCACAAAAGCATCTCAAGGAGCTCAAGCAAAGGCACTGGCAAGAGCCATTTGTTTTCCTCTAAACTTTCTTTCCTAAGGCCTCATCAGAAAACGCAACATAGATGCTTTCACTATTTGGTAGTTCTTTCTGATTCTTTACATGCACTGAGGGTCAGGGTAACTGAACACCTATTTTTCTCAATGACTATTTCTCACCAACTCCACTAAGAAAAATACGTGAAATCTTGAGCAGAGCACCAGTGAGGGAAAGGGACCTATTTATCCAGGGCTAGAAAACCTCTTATGAGCTGAGACTGAGAGCCATATTTTCCCCATGGAAAACTTTTGGGAGGCAAATTCAAAAAGTGGGTGGGGATAGGCCCACATAATCACACGCAAGCAGGTGCACAGATACACACTTTTCCAATTTTTTTACCAGCTACTTGTCAGTTCAAAATTCACATCCAGCATCTCCGAAAGGATAGCAAACTCTGACAGAAAGATTGCATGCTCTATCAAAAATCACTGGAGAGTCCAAAAGAATCAACAGGATCACACTCTCTGTGTTTTTCTTCCTACAGGAAGACCAAGCCAGATTCTGTGCCGAAATCAGACCTGAAACATATGCACTTATTTGCAAGTTTTCACAGATCTTCTGTTACAGGTATAGCTCTCAAAAATATATCCACAATCTGTGGTACAACATATGGAGGAACAGATATGTGAAGCCGTTATCTAGGGGCCAAATCTGAATTATTCTGTCAGTATTACTATCATCTATTATAGTAGAGGCCTAGGATGTATCCAGTTTATCTATTCTCTAGCATTTGTGTTATTTTTATGCAACTTCAACCAATACAGTATTCACTTGTTGGGGTAATTATTGTTACTGTTTCTCTAAAACAAGGAGTACCTTTGCTACAGTATTTGTAAGTAGCTGTCAGTGACATGATTACTCGGTCAGCATAAGACCAACTTCCTCTGTGTGCACATAGGAAAAATGCTTTTGTTATGTTCATAAACAGGAAGTCCCCAACCCCAGGAGATCTAAGAGAGAACTAGCTGAAAACCAAGCTAGCTTTTGACCTAAGATACTGCCTTCATTGACTGCCAAACACAACAGCAGGATTCTATGGGCTAATAACTATTTGATTACAGGAGAGAGGAAACATATTTTGGTCCCATCTTCCCAGTAAGAAAACACCCTGACAAATAAAAAAGGCTTGGTTATCAAAATGACCAGTTCCAAGGGATCCAAGCATTACTTTGTGAAGAATTATTACAGAGCATTACTCCTTTGAAGCTTTTGAAGACCACAAGCATGCTTTATACAGTATATTAGTAAGCAAGAGAAAAACACAGTATCTAACCCATCCAACATCCTTTAACTTTAGAAAAACTTTTAAACATAATATCTTGAAAGGACACAAGAAGAAGAGTAAGTTATGCAAAACTCTTAGATATTTTTGACTGAATATTTTGACTGATTATTTATATCTTACGTTATACCTGAAGCTCTCAAAAGCAACTTACAGGTAAGCATTGTAACTAAACAACCAAAAATACAATTAACACAGAATCATATGCTTTATGTTAAAGACCATTATCTTTTTTTAAAAAAGACAGTATACTAACTAGAAAACCCTGCCTCTGGAGTCACATCTCCAGCCATTTCTGGAACAGAGTAGAAAATTAGCTTGTTGGGCTTCTCTTGGAAGTAAATTCTACAATGAGGCAAAAACCAGCACCTGTTCCTGGATATGGCTGCCATCTTCATTTCAGAATACAGGTGCATTCAAAGCACACCTACTCTGATGATCTCAAAACATCTAGGGGTAAATATAAGAAAAGCACTTTGAGGGAATTTATCATAGCTGATGACCAATACAAATGCAAGCAATGGTGGTGGGAGGTCGGGAGGAAATTAGAAGATACCAGAAATGGGAGATTGAATTTGTACAAAGGCAGTCCTCATTTTGCATGGAGGTTACATACTAGACCTCCACACACATCAGTGGGGCCTGCATAAAATATTCCACCCTGCCTTTTTAGTGACGTTTTAGGATCACCTCCAGGTTCTGCAGTGTATGCATGTGTGCGACCGCACGTCAATCAAAACATACAGAAAAAATACAGAAGTTGCCTGTATTTGGTCCTGCCCCCAGAGATCTGTAAATTATCTAATATATATATTGTAGAAGTCTTTAAAAACTTGGTTTTCTTTTAAGCTTCAAAGCTGCCCATGGACGTCCTACTCCATAATTTCTTTTTCCTGGATTTCACTGTATCCTACTCTGAAAATTGTCATTGCATTTTATTACTTGAAATACTGAACACATTCTTCCTTCACAGACAGGTTTTTGTTCCTTAACATGCAGTTTCTTAGCAGCACAGCCCTATACCCATGTGGCTGTCCTTATGGCCCAACACACAGATATCCTCACCAGTGTTGGAAACTGAGATATGAAAGCTAGGAGCTAAATGGCACCTTAAACCTAGATAATGGGTGCAACAACAGAATGTCTAGGCATGCTTTTTATAACCAGAATAAAAGTTGAAAATGAATGAACTGCAGCTAAAATATTATGTTCATTTTACACAGGGTCCAGTCTGTCCCCTGCCTACCCCCTCTAATATACTTAAGAGGGTCTCTTCTCCAGTCTTCAGAGAATAGCTGGAAGTGGGGCGGCAGAAAAAGGTCCTCCCCTCCTTCCACTCTGCAGTTTAAATCTGAAATCTTAGGCGCAGTACTGTGCCGAGAGCTCAGAAACTGCTTGCACTAATGAAATTCCGTGTTACAAAATGCACCTAGAACAATGGGTGTTTTGAACACTGATCCTCCCAAGATGATCACACTGCACAATCTATCTACCGCCTTCTGTGCAAAAGGATCAGGACATGCAGCAAATTATGTATCCACTTAAAGGTAAAGGTACCCCTGACCATTAGGTCCAGTCACGGATGACTCTGGAGTTTCATGCTCATCTAACTCTATAGACTGAGGGAGCTGGCGTTTGTCCGCAGACAGCTTCTGGGTCATGTGGCTAGCATGACTAAGCCGCTTCTGGAGAACCAGAGCAGCACACGGAAACGCCGTTTACCTTCCTGCTGGAGTGGTACCTATTTATCTACTTGCACTTTGACGTGCTTTCGAACTGCTAGGTGGGCAGAAGCTGGGACTGAGCAATGGGAGCTCATCCTGTCACGGGGATTCGAACCGCCAACCTTCTGATTGGCAAGCCCTAGGCTCTGTGGTTTAGACCACAGTGCTACCTACGTCCCCTTTGTGCCCACTTACACAGCTCCTTTTGCTTTGCTATCTCCAGATATCTGAACACACTATGGATATTTCATTCTAAAAACAGACATCACCCTTGTAGTGGTTTCCCTTTAGCCATCTCAAATCCAGCAGTTCTCAAAAGCTTAAAATTTTGATTAGCTGAAATACCACACTCAAACAGTCTATCCGAGGACCACTCATCGCACTGACAGCTATAAAATGTTACAGATTTTATGATTTAGACAAAGCATCTGAAACACACCTGTTAGACAAACAGATGTATGTCACAAAAAACTTTACCAGGTGAGCAAGTAGGACACACTGTAGGATTTGTCTTCTTTTATGTTGAAAATCTAGGCCTATCTTACTTAGAAGAGGGCCAATGTCCTCAGCTGTCAAGTAGGTTACATCTAAGCATGATTAAAGGCAAAGGTGGTAGATCAGATTGGTAACTGGGAGCTCACAGGTTGACTATGGCTTCTTGAGAGAGTTGCCTGGTCCGCAGCTGCCAACAGCTTGCCCATAAGAACAGCCTGCCAGATCAAGCCAGTGGCCCATCTAGACCAGCATCCTGTTCTCACATTGGCCAGCCAGATGCCTATGGGAAGCCTGCAAGACCTGAGCATAACAGCATCCTACTCTCCTACGGTTCCCAGCCACTAGTATTCAGAGGCACACTGGCCTCTGACAGTGAAGGTAGAGGCACCATTGAGAGCCTTTTCCTCCATGAATTTGTCTAATCCTCTTTCAAAGCCGCCCAAGTTGTTGGGCAGCACTGCCTCTGTTGTTAGCAAATCCCACAGTTCAACAATGTGCTGTGTGAAAAAGCGCTTTCTTTTGTCTGTTCTGAATCTTCCAACATTCAGCTTTGTTGGATGTCCGTACGAGAGAGGGAGAAAAACTCCCTCCATCTGTCCTTCCTTTTCCTAAGTGTATGTTGAACTAGAGTGGGAGACTGGCTGTGCAAGGGAGAAGAATTGCCCCCTCACAGACATTCTGGTTTCCCCCTTCCTCTCAGCTTCCCTGGAAGAATTCCAAGTAAGGAAGTGTATCTGGACTCCTCCTTCTCCTGGCACACCCTGCCTTATCCTAGTTCTTCCAGGAAATGTGGATTTGCAAATCAAGGTGGGGGGAAGGCTTAAAATTATATTAATGATTTGTTGGTATAAACTGTTTGATTGAAAAGCTTTCTGTAATTTTTTTTAATAGTTAAATCTTCTTGACACAATGCTCCTTACTGCTCCCCTATTCAAGAAGTACAGAGGGAGGGGTATCTGCGTTTAAACTGGCCACTATAGACACACATATTAGATAATATTGTTTATAAAGCATCTAAAACAGTTGGGTGCTGTACAATGACAAGCAATACACAGTAACCATGAAGCTGCCATCAGAGAAGGAAAATATTTAGAGATTCTAGGTCTCTGTGGCCCCAATAGAACTCTCCTTTGATGCCTACCCAACAGTGCTTTTGGCATTCCTTTTCAATAGCTGCCTCCCTTCCTCTAATCCAGCAGTTTGCAACCTGTGGGTCCCAGATGTTGTTGGACTACAACTCCCATCATTACTGAGCTCTGGCCTTGCTAACTAGGAGTGATGGGAGCTGTAGTTCAACAACATCTGGAGACCCACAGGTTGAGAAAGGCTGTTCCATGCCAAGTGGCAAAGTGTTCTTAACTGCCATATGAGTCAGGAGTCTACTGTTTTAAGGACTCACACCAGGCATGACGAGTTGGGCTGATTTACATACATTATTCAAGATTTCATCACTCACACCTGACAGGGTGATGTCAAGGAAGAAACAGGAAACACAAGCAACCTACACTTCCTGTTCTTCCACATCTCTGCCACACACATGAATGAATTAGGGCCAATGCAGGGACAGTATGCAAGAGAGATGGGAAATCCCATATGCAGTACACACACAAAATGCAGACATGCCACCCAAACTTTGTGTGCACATTGTTCAAAAATCAGTGTACCTACATTAATGGTAATATGCGAAGTGTTTAGTTGCTCTGAATCATGCAGTTATCTGGATTGTGGCAGCATTTGTATTCTATGGAAAGCAGTAAGATGAGCACACACAGATTCAAACTTAAACAACTGGGGTAGTTCTTATATGGCACTGCAATTTTAAAAGACATTTTAAACATTTGTGGTATCAATTTAGGTTGCATGTGCAATCTTCTTTTATCTTAGCAGGCACTAGCTGATACATTGTTAAATTAATGAAACTCTTTTGTGTGCTGACATTTCAAAATTTCAGATATGGAACAGTATTTCAGATTACTGAACAGCAATTTAAATCAAGTACAGCCTTTAAAAAAACTTGCCTTTGAATAACTTGAATATTCTCAACATATATTCAATAAAAAGTTAATGATTCCTGTTTCCCCATTTTCTTATTAGAATATCAGCTTCTACGTCTGAAATTTTTTTGGGGGGTGTTAAAACAAAATATTACATAGTTTACCATTGTTAAGGCTTTTTAAAAAATCAACACACTGTTGACATTAGCTTTATTTCTAAGTTTTAATAACCAGAAATACAACAGTGCAAAAGGGAAGGGGACAGGAATGTGCAAAAAAGCAGATGTGTAGCCACCGAGCCTACACTAACAGTGCAAACGCATGATAGGAAACCACGCTTGTGGTAACAAAATAAAGCTTGTAAAAGGAGAAGCTGGGCGTAGACTCTTATGACCTACGTGCTGCGAATCTCAGCAACAAAAAGCAGTTGTTTTCTTACTTCTTCTTGTTGTTTTTAAAATCAGGAATCGAAAGAATCAGAACTATGCGTTTCACGGAAAGCTTTAACCCTCCCCAAAAGTTGTTGTTTTTTAAATTTTTTATTACTTTTATTATTATTAAAAGAGGCAATACAAAATGACATGAAGCCAAGCCAAGCCGTTCCTTTCAAGGGGAGGGGCAGGGAAAGAAAGAAAGAAAGAAAGAAAGAAAGAAAGAAAGAAAGAAAGAAAGAAAGCTGCTCCTTTAAGAGAAACTCTTGCTAGACCCCCGCCCCCCAAAGAGGCTGTATTCTACTTTTCCTTGGATAAAGAAACCTGTATAGTACAGTTGAGAAGGTCTGCTTGTCGCGCAGCAGCATCGGAAAGCAACACTTGGTTGACATTAATGCTGGTGTAGACTCTCTCCCGGCTGCGAAGGAAACACGATCAATCTTGCGGGGTGGGGAGGGAGAGTCGTCCTGCCTGCGTGCGCGCCGCTTCCCCCGCTGCACTCACCGCTTGCGTGCTCGGAGAGAGTGGAGACTGACGTCTGGCCCATGTCTTGGTCCTGGCAGAGGGCCGGGGGTCCTACAATCAGGCCACCCTCTCGGTCCTTCGGTAAGGTCTCCTCTCCCACGGAAGCTCCCGAGGGCTCATGGCACCTTCTCCCGGCGCTCGCTCGCTGGCTCGCTGCAATTAGCAGCCTCCTCCTTGCAACTTCTGCTGCCTCCCCTTGCGCGCGAGTTGCTAAGCCCTCCTCCTGCTCCTCCCTCCGCCTGTTGCTGCTGCTGCTGCTGCCGCCCAGCTCAGCCTTCTCCTGCTCAGCCGAATGCCTGTCATTCCTCTATGCAGATTAACTCGGGCCAAAGGGAGAGAGCCCCGAGCTGGTACAGCCACGCCAGGCTCCCTCGCCGAGATCATCCGGCGCCACAACAGTTGCAGTGTGTGGCTTTAAGCTGCTCGCACAAAGAACTCGGTGTTAAACGACCCTATAGGGCTCGGTTGACAAAAAAAGGAAAGTACTTAGTCGTGGCATTTAAGTTTGCAAAAAGGTCTTGTTTTCCCCAAAGGGGCTTATCCCTGCTCAGTTTTCCGACCTTAGAGGGCCGGTTTCATGCGCTTCTGCTAGCTAGCTAGCTGCTGCTACAGGTTAGATAATTTCCTCTAGAGAGGTAGGTATCCTAGCCTCTTGCAGCAAAAGTAAAGTGTCTTTTGGGCCTTAAATACTAAAGAATTTGCAGTGCCACAAAACTGTGTTTTTGCACCTTTGGACTAATTTACAGTTCCGTCAATAAAGCATTGTGCTTTCGAATAATGGATTAAAATCTGAGCAAGTGTCTGGGACCTGAACTGCACCATGCATAAGCTCCTATAGGGAACTGATATGGGACTGAAACACAAAGGGATTCCAGCATTAGAATTAAAAAAAGAGAGAGAGAACGGGTACTCGTGTCTTCACTAGGTGAGTCACAACACTTCCTTGCATACAAAAGTTCAAACTGCATTGCTCAGGAAAATGCATCTTACACATTTCCAAACCTGCTTTGCTAATCTGGTGCTGGACAGCAGGCAAAATATAAAATTAATTCCATAAGCTGCTTCATACCCTCTCTAGAAAAAATCCGATTGTAACTTTGAATTGGATTTTGTACCTTAATCTAGTGGCAAATAATTACTTCTGTATCTTGCATAACTTTGTTCTGTGCTTCATTTCCTATTGTCTGGTGGTCAGGTGTCTTGGGAACAAAGGAAGCATCTTTTCATAGTTTCCAGTGCAAATTGTTTCCAGTACAGGTTGTAACAGGATATATACTGCACAATTATATACAAATGACTTCAATGGCTCTTATTCCCAGCTAAGTGGATAAAGAGTGTAGCCATAGATTTTCTCCGCTTAATAAAAAGGAAGTCTATATTAAGAACAAGTTCCTCTGTCCTTTAAAATTATGCTCATTTTCTTCTTGGTTAAAATATGGAAAGTAAACAAAACAATTTTCACCAGCCATTTAAAAGGGGTTATTTAATATAAATGTTATTTCATATGACGTAAAACCACTTCTAGAAATCTTAACAGGATAAAGCGCAAGTTAAGCACCCATTTCCATGTTCTTATCTCCCAGGGGCCAAAATCTGTTTCACACTGAGCTGCCAAGCAGAGTAGCAGGCCATCACCTGGCCAGAGCCTCCCACCTCCAATCTGCTCAGCCATTCACAAAAATATGGTTGCAGGCACCCCAGTCTCCAAGTGGCAAGAGACTCCAGGGATTTCAGTTTCCTTGGGAAAAAGAAACACCATGATGCAGCTGTAGCATCACAGCCTGATGTCTTCATCTGCCCCAGCTGCAACAAACATGTCTCTCCTGTCTCTGTCTCTATAGCAACAGCAGACGCTGTAACCCATGGGTAGGCAAACGAAGGCCCAATAGCCTTCTAAATCCGGCCCGCGGACGGTCCGGGAAGCAGCGTGTTTTTACATGAGTAGAATGTGCCCTTTTATTTAAAATGCATCTCTGGGTTATTTGTGGGGCATAGGAATTCTTTCTTTTTTTTTCCTTTCCAAAATATAGTCTGGCCCCCCACAAGGTCTGAGGGACAGTGGACCAGCCCCCTGCTGAAAAGGTTTGCTGACCCCTGCTGTAACCTTCCAACAGTTTAACTTCACTTCCCCAAAGGCACAGTCCTCCATTCTCTCCAGAGACAAATGTATGCCAACAAATCCTCACTGGGAGGTGGGAAAAGATCCCACCCATACATCTCTATGACATATTTATCAACTGTCTTAATAAATATGTAAACTACCCTCACAATGTTCAGTTGGTATGAAAGTGTTTAAAATCTTTAAAATAAATTAAAATAAATTTAATTATTTTTAAAGCAAAAGAAAAATGTAGACAGTGTATGAAACATCAGATGAAGGGCAAGCCAAGTAGCTGATCCAGCACTCACTATGCAGGTATGCACATCTGTCGTTTCAGTTGTGAAACAAGAGGAAGCCAGGCTCACATTTTATCAGGTTAGGAATTCTTTACGAGCTCTGTTTTCACATTACTGTATAGTCATCTTCAACCTTAGATGTCCAAGGAGCAGGTCCTGTATGTCTTGAAGGCCTCCCTCCATCTTAATTGGTCTAGAGAAGCATTTTGTCATGAAAACAGATTAGGTTGCAAACAGCAAATAGTTTGGCATGGAAAAAAGAATTCTTATAAGACATTATGGGCAAGTTGGTATAAGTCTATGAAATCCACTTTTCAAAAAAAAAGGCTACTAATCTCTTGTACAGTGGCACCTACATCCATAGATCATCATACATCATACATCATACTGGAGAGCCAGTGTGGTGTAGTGGTTAAGAGCGGTAGTCTCGTAATCTGGGGAACCAGGTTCGTGTCTCCGCTCCTCCACATGCAGCTGCTGGGTGACCTTGGGCCAGTCACACTTCCTTGAAGTCTCTCAGCCCCACTCACCTCACAGAGTGTTTGTTGTGGGGGAGGAAGGGAAAGGAGAATGTTAGCCGCTTTGAGACTCCTTAAAGGGAGTGAAAGGCGGGATATGAAATCCAAATCCAAAATATAATTTATGTTAAACTATATGCTTTTGGGTTTTTCTATAACATAATTACATTATGTTGGCTATTAATAATATAATAATGTCCATAGCAGCAAAAATATGTTAAAAAAATTTAAAAGTGTAAGGAACAGGGAGTATACACTCCAAAAGAAGTGTAAATAAAAAATTACTTGTGCTTCTGAATATGAATAAAATTATTTGCAGGTCAAAACAGCATATATCATATTAGTCAGTGACTTCACCTGAGAATTTTAGAAAAGGAAGATTTCTGATAAATATGCCAAGACTGTTCAGCGGCTGCTTCTATTAAATACCTTGATGTACAGTCATACCTCGGGTTACAGACGCTTCAGGTTGTGTTTTTTCGGGTTATGGACCGCCGAAACCCGGAAGTACCAGAACAGGTTACTTCTGGTTTTCGGCGGTCGTGCATGCGCAGAAGCACTAAATCACGCTTTGTGCATGTGCAGAAGCGCTGAATCGCAACTTGCGCGTGCGCAGACGCGCCGCTGCGGGTTGCGAACGTGAATCCCGCATGGATCACGTTTGCAACCTGAGCGTCCACTGTATTAGGTTCTTATTGTGTACCACCAGCAGGGTTCATTTTTTGTCTGTATTGTGATAAGAAATAGAAAAAGTTACATAAGAAGAATAGCAATGCCAAAATATAACACTGGGGGCAAGTAAACAAGTTCATAATGTCACTCTCAGGACACTGGAATACACTGGAGAACACTCACACAAAAATTACATAAGCACTATGTCACACCACACAGCAAAATAAATATTGAATATTACCAGTAGGGTTTGTTGAACTTTCCTTCTTGTATACTTATTAAAGTAAGGAAAACAAAATATGCAACAATACAATTATTTACAGGTGAGTTTTGGTAAGCAATCCAGAGTGACAACATTTATACCAACTAGCTTATGTAAAAGAAATGTAAATGGAACACAGGAAGCTGCCTATATAGAGTCAGACCACTGGTCCATCTAGCTCAGTACTGTCTACACAGACTGGCAGCAGCTCTCCAGAATTTGAGGACATCCAGCAGGAACTTGCATTACCGTAATTCCTTTTGAAACGGAACTTTCCATGCACTAGGTATCAGTGTTGTGATTTTCATATCTTTTCCCCTTACATTTTTAATAGCTATATGGTGTCTACAATAAATGATCATATCTAGTTATTTTTTATTTTATTAAGGAAAAAACTCTATGTTACTTAATTGTATGTAAAACCTCTAAGCGGTTTGTTCGTCTATTCTGCTTTCTTAAACCATCAGTATCCAGCCATTTTAACTCTGCTGACAAAAGCCAGGTTATATGTTTCATTTTTAAAATATATATATATATATCCTTCCTGACCTTAAATCAAGACTTTGGAGTATAATTGGTGCTTGGTATCGTACGCTAAAGAACAAAATGCCAGATGTAATTTTTAAAGTTCCTGTTTTATATCATTTTATGTCACAGTTGAGTGCAATATAAACACAATGGTGGCCTGCATTCCATAAATATTTGTTCTTGCTACCAGACAGATTTTGTATTGTTTCTCCAATGATATTTATTTAGAACTGCTTGTGTGAGAGAGACATATAGATCTATGGAACCACGTAAAGCCATTATTTCTGAATAAAAATAGTTTTGTGGTCATGATGCAGGTCTAGCAAACTGGTCTGTGATTGGCGTTCATTCCAGAATATTGGCCATCAGCAAAATTCCAACATTTTAATGCTTTACTAATTGGTCACAATTCTGTAGCAAATTCCCAAAGTCAAACATGATATTCTTATTAACCATGACATTCATTCCATGGCAATTATGAAATACTCGCAGCAACAATGGAAGGGTGGCTCTGACTTATAAAACAAAACAAAACTTTAAACTATATTTATATGTTCAGCCAGTGATTGGGGTGTATGGAGTGTTAGGAGAGGGGTAGTAGCTCTGGTGGGGTACATGTCGTGCTCCTTCTGAGATATTTTGCCCACCTTTGCTCCCCACCCTGCACTCATGTCATGGACTGGCTGGATGCAAAGGAGGGGGGGCACCAACTGGATAACCCCCATGGGACCCTCCAGGGGAAGAAAGCTCAGAACCAGGGGGCTGGTGTTGGGACAACGATGAGTGGTCAGAGGGAGGAAAAGGAGAAGAATGGGAGGAGTGTCAGAAGCTGAAGGGGCAAGAGAGTTTAGTAAGGAGAAAGAGGCTAGGGCAGAAAGTAGTCCAGGCTCAGAGGCAGAAGAGGAGGCTGGAGAAGAAGGGGCCCAGCACTGAAGGTTTGCTCTGGAGGGTTAGGGGACACTGGGAACAATGCGAGGAGCTGCAAAAATGGCCTCCCACTGTATCATAAGCTTTCTGTGGATGGAAAGAGTTTGTAGAAGGGTCAGTCATGATCCAAACCAATACCACTTAAACCAGTGATGCCAAAATACATCCACCAAGAGGCCACTAATTTGTTTATTTTTAAATGGGACTGGCACCTGGGTTGCTGAAGAGGATAGCAGGAAGGGCCTTCTTCCACTGCCGCATTTTGAACCTCTAACTTCGGGGGGGAGGGAACTTTTCACAAACTACAGCCACAGTAAGCCATCTACTCCCTCCTATTCCCGCTTCCTTTTTGTTTTATGTTTTAAATTAGATTGGGAACCTGCAGGGAGAGAAACAAAGTAATCTAGGAGCACCCGGCAATTTTATGTGCTTTTATTAATATCACGTGATGAGGTGCCGTAGCCTTGTCTGTGTTATGGAACCAGCCAAACAGGAACCAAGACAGCAATGAAAAACATAATACTAAAGAGGCCAAATAAGAACTAGTCATGTTAGAGCTGGAATGGGGATGCTGTGGCCCCCCAAACGCTGCATTCCAATTCCCATCAACCCCAGCCAACATGGTCAATAGTCTGGGATGATGAGGATTGAAGCCCAAAGATATCTGGAGACCCATAGCCCCTATAGGCAACTCCTGGAATCATAGGGTTGAAAGGGGGGGAATCTGATATGTTTGGGAAGAGATTCCCTAGCTAGTGTTGCATACCCTATTTGCTGTAGTAGTGCACACCACTCCTTGTGCTAATATCACCACTGTAGCTTAGCAGCATTGGACTTCTAGAAATATAACATGGGATCAAAGCAGGACCTGGTTATTTTCAGTTACTTTGAACCTCTGTTATAGAGGCAGATACTGATATTTAATTTTTAAAAAACAAACAAACTTGCAAATATGTTCACATGGACATCTCCAGAACTTATTAAGCAAAATAATAGCACATCCAAAAATGATAAAGAATTGCTGCTTGGAACATGACAATAGCTCTTTAAAAACCATTCCCTCCAGGAAGGCTGATGTTTGAATTTCTAATGCACAACATGGTGTCTTTATTTCATTTCTTTCAGCATCTACAGGTCCTATTGAACTTGATGCATTTACACAAGTACCACCATCACTTTACTGCCTATAAAATGCAAAAATGAGGCAAAACCCAAAGGCTGAAAAGGAGATAATGATAATCTAGTCCACCCAGCTGCTCTAAAGTGGAATCCCCCGCAAAGCAACAAACATCTGCTCTAGACATTAACACCCATCATCTAGGTTATCACATGCTGTGAACAGATGATAGTCACAAACAAGGTGCTCTACCCTAGAGATACCTGTAAAATACAGTGAGTAGTCTAGAAAACATTCTATCCACACTAACCTCAACTTGCTTCTTTCCAAGAAGCTGAGCAGCTGGGTTTTAAAGAAGAGTATTGGAAAACACATTTAGGTTAGGAACATTAAGTGCATAGCGAAGCACAGACAGTGTGTAATGCTTACTGAAAGCTAGCTTAGTTTTTGACCTGTGATATTTAATGTTCAATAAAATGAGGTGGGCAGCAATGTATTGTGTTTCTCCTCTGAAAACATGCCTCACTTTTGTGAAATGCCGCCTCTGCACTCAATATTTTAGGTTCCTTTCTATTTTATTGTGCCTCCAACCAGATTAAGGACTGCTGCTGTTATGCCTGTGTATAAAGCACTACAGGATGAAATGCTAATGATGATGTTAAAGAACTTTTATTTTATGATAAAGCAATAGGATTTGTAAAACTGAACTGCATAATTGCTAATACAGCCATAAGGTACAACAGCTTAGAAATGTGGTATTTTGGGTATTCAGGAGGTAGGAAGAAGCATAGTTAATCCTCTC